CTCTTGTGGAGAGACAAGAACAGAAGCGCAAGATTGCCGGTCTATACCGTTAAATCGCGCCTATTCATCATCCCGCATGAGATTTCGTGACAAACTTAATGCGAGTAATGATACGCGAGTCTCGGCAAATCCCGAAACGCATCGTCGCGTCGTGTGCGCATAATTATCTAAATTGCTGCGGTTAATTAGATTGCGGTTGAATCAATTACCAAACATAATTCAAGCTGTGTGCGATCGCATCGATTAAAATAAAATCAAAAACTCATGTGTATATGACAACTAGTTGTCACGCATACCTTAGAAAACATTTATAGGATCCAGTCAGATGAGGTGTGCCGCGTACGCGGAAGAATGTTAGCGTATGCAATCATAGCAGATCGGGTGCAATAAGAAGAATAATCACAAGTAAAAGAAACAAACGTTATCAAATTCAAAATGAGACTAACAGTCCAGTAAACATTATTGAACGAATAAATCAGCATTTACGAAATTTACATTGGATCCTAAGACCTACATTAAGTGTTGTAAATTATTAATGATCTTGATTATTGAGATCATAATTAATTACAGATACATATTCATGGACCGTTATCTGGCTATTTCGATCAATATTTCTTGTACACAATAAGTACATGTACATAGATTATCCAATAATTAGATTCATGAAGCTGTAATTTATCGAATGACAATGGATTATGAATAACTGCCGAAATTTCAACTCGGATATCTCTCTATTCCCGTAAGATTGTCAAACGTCTGTCAAAATAGGAAATTACTTGACGGACCTGAAAATATATGATGTATCGTTGTCCGCGTTCCGACACCCTGCGTCCTTCATCATCCTGACCTGCCGGATTCATTCTGCTCCTAGCTGCTTCGTCGTAACACTCCGGACGCTCACGCGCTACATTGACACTCGCACAAATATCGCGATTCAATCGGAGAAACGTATTAGCCCTTTAACCACAAAGTTGCGATGCAAACCCACGGCTTGTTTATTTTACAGCATGTACGCACTGTTTCTCTTCTTAAGGAATGTTTCATGTTATTATTTACTTCTTGTATTCATTTTATATATGGATTATATGAAAAATAAACAAAAAAGGGTATGGGGTTGAATCCGACCCCGCTTTCGTGGATACGTTGAAAATTCATCTTGTCGTTAGAGAATTAATAAACGCGATATCGACGAAAGTCTGAATGAATATTTCAAGAGCCGACGAGACGTATTTTAATCGCGACGAGAATGATACGCACCGATACACACATATGATACACACACTCCCCGCGATACACGTGTCGTCCGCCGGCTTGATACATAATGGAAACACTCGGAAAAGTACGTGACGCACGTGAATAAATGTGACCGCCTTGAAGGTCCCGAATGTTTTGAGCGCGTGCATTGTCGCGATCGTGCGGCTGTTCAGCGACGGGCGACGACGCTTGCCGATTGACACGAGATGACGCAGCCCTTTTTGCCCATTGTGTAGTACTCCCACGCATCGCATACTTTTCCGTAGTCAAGTGCCATATTACGTCACGAGTTCAGCGAATTAAAATTCCTGTCGAATGATGAAAATGTTTCGTCCGCTCTCGAAATATTCAATCGGGTTCTCGTCAGCATCGTTTTAATTAACACGCGTTTCAACGATTGAATTGTATCTATATATAGTGTCTATATCAGTATTAGTGCTACGAGCTAGTATCCGAGATACTATACGGAGCAGCCAGAAAACAGACCGAGTCGGGAAGCCAAGAGGGAGGATCGAAGACGGCGGGACGCGAACAGCGTATTTATTTCATACAGGAAATATGGATCTATCCAACTGGTCCATGAAAACAAATCCGGAGTTAATCATGCTCCCAAAAATCACAAATAATTTAGAATTATAGTACCGGTCTTAGAATCCAGTGTAAATATTGCAAGTGCTGATTTATGTATCTAATAACGCTTCTTTGACTGTAAATCATCCAAATTCACCTTAAATTTGTCAGTCTTTTTTCACTTTTGCTTACAGAGTACCGTTCACGAAACGAACAATTACATGTCAAGGTAACGTGCGGAAAGTTTGAGGAGAGTTTTCAATAAATGTGTAAAGCAGCAAGCAAAACACTCAGGGTACCTTTTACAAAAATAGGCCAGGGCAAACGGGAGTCGTCCACAAGCTATCGAGAAATTTAATGCATAAGCAAACGATGAGAACAACGAGGGGAGCACTCATTTCGACTACAAATATTTCTTGAGGGCTTCTGCCCGACTTACTAAAAACTTCCCTGACCGCTTCCTTTTCAACTAGGAAAAGATTAAAATTTTTGCACATCTAATAATTCTAACATAAATCTTTAAAGGAATATTCCTACCTGGTTAGATCGAAAAATGCCTATTTTCAAGAATTTTTGGGGAAAAAGTATTGAAGCAATTAAGATGCAACTTTTTAATAAATATTTATTGACTTTTGTAGATTATGATATTTTTTAATATGATAGTATTTTTGTTATCGTAGATTATCCAGTGGATCGCAGATATAGATAGTGATCCAAGAAACATGGACAAACGACAAGAAAAATGGCATTAAATAACTATTTGGGCATCGCAAGAGAGAGAGAGAGAGAGAGAGAGAGAGAGAGAGAGAGAGAGAGGACAAGATAGATATTATATAATATTATATCTGACAATTGCATGTTTATCGGTTTTCGAAGTTTGATAGAATTTACAAAATTAATGCAAAACCAAAATTTCAACTTAGGTTATTTCTGCCGCAAGTCTGGCAGGCGAAAATGGCCAACTTTCGAGACGTAAAGAAAAGTCGTGATGGAAAGTGTAAAGAGGGATTCGAATCGATAGAATGTGCAAAGTTTCGACGTTGAAAGACGAAATGCAGCAGGCGCGCGAACAATGCGCCTCTGCATCCGTCGTATGCGAGAGAGAGAGCGATGTACACCGGCGACGTAGTCAGATAATTCACATGTACACATTGTGCATGGTCTCGAACGGCGGTGTGCGAGACTAGATGTACTGACATACACGTGAATTCCGACGTGTTAGCAACCACACCGAGCGCTGATGCGCGCACGTCAAATTAAAATGACAACGTGGAACGTCACTCCGCGACGAGACGCGATGAAAGATCGCGATGTATACCGCGGGATGAATTCGGTAATTAACAAACTTGCGCGATAATATGCCCCCTCATTGTGAAAGGGAAACACTTTTTTCAAATGAAAAGAAGGAGTGGTTATTACGGAAATACTAGTGCGAAGTTTTCGTCAAATTATTTCCAAATTTCATCGAATTATTTAAAGCCAACATTATGCGTACATATGGCAAAATATCGTTATTTTAATAGTTCCTAACAAAAAAATATAATTTACTGATTCTTTGGCTCAACATTAAAATCGTGACTGGGTCACTTTTTACTTGAAGATTTTTTCTTCCACTACTTTGGATTTTCACTGCTAGATAAACTTTTTTTATAATAAAATAATTAAATAATATTATAAAGTTCAAAAAAATTCGTAGATAATTAAAAAAAGAGGTAGGTCAAAAGTGACCCATCTGCAGTTCTAGAAGAGATTCAAATTATAGTGTTAAAATGATGTCTCTGGCACGTCACATATTTTTTTGCACCGAATTATACAATGACGAACTATACATGTCTTAAGATATTAAGTGCTCAACGTTTTTAACCCTTTGGCCTCCAAGTTTTTAACTTTTTGACCGCATTCTGGGTCAGATAGACGCGGTAAGTTGCGTTGGAAGAGCTATAGTGAAATGCACGATCTACGAGTTCTCCCCACTCCCGAAAAATCGTTAGAGAATTGTTCCATCTGTTAGATGTGGTGCAGATCTGATAAACTGATTAGTATGTGTTTGAGAGCCACCTGAATTTGACGCACGATCAATTGGATCCTAATATGCAGTCCATGTATAATTTGATCCCACAAGTGCTCTTTTTATGAAAATTTATATGTGAATGTAAGTAAACATTGTGATTACATATTTTATTTGAAAATAATAGTGTTATATTAGGTTCGGATGTCGTGTAATTTATATATGAGCACGTCCTGTAAAGCGTGATCCTAAATAATTTATTATTTTTTTAAACAATGCATATTATCATTTTGCAAATAAAAACTATATTTGATATTTTCATATAGTATAATAATATTTTTCCCAATAAGAACACCTATTTTCAACACATGTAAAAAACTCTTTTCAGTGGTCCAAAAAAATATGTTTTTCGAACATTCATTGGAGTGATATACTTTTTTCTGTTAAAACTATCTTCCGACTTCATCACCCTACAGTTGCAAATCAAAATAAAAAATAAATATAGAAATTACGATTTTTTAAGTGAAACACTACTATTCGCGGGACAACTGTTTCAATTCAAATTTTTTTCAGTAATTTAAAATTTTTCAGTAATTTAAACTTTTTTATGAATGCATGATAAAACATTAAAGTAGAAGAGTTACACTTTATTTTAGAATTTTGCTAACCTCTTTTCTTTTCAATTTTTTAGAAACAGAATTTAAAAAATTATATAAAATCCATATGATCAATGATATAGTATAATAATATAATCCATATAATAAATCCATGTAATCCAGTAGTATAATCCAGTGCGAGCGACTTTTCAAAAGTGTGCGATCAAAGGATTAAGAAGTGAACAATTTAACAAATTAACAGAAGCTTAATAAATGTTTTCTTTATTTTTTGACTTCAACTCCCTATAATCAAAAATTGCTTCTTCTTAAATAGTACGTCAAAGGGTTTACATCTCACATCATAGCCAGTTGCATCAAATCGATAATGTTAAGGAGTTAACAATTCATAGCTTTTATCTGGAATCTGGATTACAATAATCTATAGAGCACAATTTCTTTATCATATATGCATACGAAGAACATATTAAACTTGGCATTTTTAATTACCCTCGTTCTCTTTCACACGCCCACGTTACGACGTTTTTACAAACGTGTACTTTTGTGAGCGCAGTATGCCACAAGGAAGCATTCAATGGCAGGGGACGCAGAGAAGAGCCTGCGGACCTGGAGCTAACTGGAACGTACAGGTACATCCTCTTTGCTCTAGGTTATAAAACTTCGAGGTCGATATCGAGTACAGCAATACATTATCATTTCTCGGACCCGAGACTTTTCATCGGCCTCGTTAGCGTAACTATTAGGGAGAGTAGCCCGCCGATAATATCAGCCGTAGAGAGAGCGAGAGAGAAAGAGAGAGCCAAATAGTGCGCATATATGTAGAGAGCATGTAAGTACCATTAGGTACAACATATCCGTAACTCTGATCGTCTCTCAAGCACGTTCACGAATTTAGTTGCCTGCGAACGCCTGCAGGAATTGCTCCCGGCGGGTGGAATTGGTCCCGACGTGGAAGTCGCAGAGCGCAAATTTTACGCGAAACAAACAGACAGACAAACAAACGCAAACCACAGTTATATCGTTGCCGCTATGAAATTACCTATCGCTCTCTGCTAGACGAGATGAGATCTCTACACACATACATACAGGCATACAGATATACACGCACACACGGCAGTTCTGTAAATACATCAAACTATTCCCGACAAGACACTCGTAGATAAAACGCTCTCTTTAATTAGCATCCGATTGAACCGAGTATTCCAGCACTCTACGTAGCAATTATACCGTCACGACGCAGTAATTTAGATTACAAACGCTACACGAGATATCTCGCTCATCGTTATCCAGCACCGAGAAGCATTACTACGCCGTAACTACAGCGCAGCGCAATCTCGTAAATAATACTGATCGATTTAACGGCACCGCGTAAACGCGGTCGTACGTGCGTTTGCCACCTACGGCTGATAAACAACTGGACCATCGTCCAGGTTTATTAACTGTTAACGGCGGCAATTAAATCGAACAGGTGGTGAGAGGCAAGGTGACAACACGGTGCTTGTGGCACGCCTGCAAAGCTCTCGGAATTGGGCTGCTGCTAATGCTTTTAGGAGCTTGCATGGCGACTATAGGTGAGTAGAATTATGTAAATTAAACATCGGTCCGTAAACACATTGACGAGCGCTATTCCGTCTTAGCTATTAGGTACCTAATTGCTTAAAGGCAGCCGCAAAGCGTACTTTGCAAACATCAACCACGTGCGGTACAATTTCTGTCGCCTTTAATGCCTAGGATTCGGGGGATTTTGCCAAAGCGATCTTAGATTTTTTTGTCGTCCAAAACGTGATAGATACATTTCTGGATATCTTCTTTCATAGCGCCCACGCATGGATCGCGTACGAGCCAAACCTTTTGTTTATTACGCACAAGCTTGTACTTCACGCCTACTTATACCCACGTGCATGAATCGAATTTGAATTCAATCAGTACGTCTGAGAACAATTTCTCAAGTCTATGAAGTTAGGTCAATCATATCCCGCTTAGAAATGAGAAAAAAACACATAGGCCTGTTAATGTCAAATTTTGTCGAAATTTTTTCCTTGGTTATAATTTCTTTTTTAGGTTAAACAAATATAATAATTTATAGACAAATGTGAACATACCATGGACAAACGAATGTCTCGTGAATTTGATAAAAATTCGCATTTCGCTAACTTCATAGACTTCAATTTTCCACTTATATAAATTTTATATATAATGTCAACGTATATTTAATAGATACACTTGGATATCCACGTAGCATCGAATAGCTCGCAATATCTAGATTTTTAAATATCCTTTGGATATCTACTGAATATTTATGCTATATTACACTTCAAGTAATATAGGAGCAAATTTTAATGCAAAGTAAACTTAGCACCAATTTTGTGTGAAGTCCGTGACTGATGCGACACGCGTGTTTTAACGCGTTTTAACAAGCGTGAAAGAATAGTGTGTCTATAAAGCAATATCGAAGTTTTACTCCTTTACTTATACCCTCTTTAATTATATCCCTTCATTGTTTCGTTGAATAGGATATTATGCGGATCAGCTATCGGTGGCGCAGGAGACCAGAGGTAATCTCACGATAAAAGTGAAGAACGAATCGCGCGGGTTTCATCTGAATAATCTGAGTTACGCCGGTCCCATCGTTATGGGCGTAGGAGGTAATAGTTAATACACATTGCACAATTTACGCGCGCAATTTACACGCTCGACCGAGCGGCTGGTTACATGACACTGATCCTCTTGGAACGGTAACTGCGCGATAATAGATACGATGGCGCAAAATATATATAAACATTTCTCGGGACGATGTACGTCGTTAAACATATATAATTGCACGTGTGATCCTATGCGATACGACGCGTAAATCGATAAAATTATTACGTAATATGATATAATAATGCTGCGAAAAAAGATTCTACGCGGAGAGTTCTCTCTCGATTTTCGCGCACAATATATCGCTTGCAAGGCTCATGCAATTATTAAATTTGTATTGCAGAATAAGCATGATAAAAAAACATTAATTAAAGAGAAATAATTATTTTTTTTGTATCTTTTATTCCGATAACAAAACCCTCTGCATCTCGTAAATTATTATTTGATATTTTCCGACGCAAAATTTTCGATAGGTGTGTTAGTTATTGCAAACGTGGGAGAATATACAATGATTGAAAACAGCTATAAATAAAAACAGCGAATAATGTAACGGATGTAGAGCGGAAAATTGCAGGCGAATCGCGAAAAATACGGCTATACGGTCGAACAAAGAACATTCGATAGAAACGCGAGAAAAAAAAGCTGCCCCCAGAGAGATTTGAACTCTCGACCCCTGGTTTACAAGACCAGTGCTCTAACCCCTGAGCTATGGAGGCACACGGTCGATTATCGCCGAGAAGTCTCAGATAGCTGCGACATGCACATTTTGCATCGTTTTTTAATGTCGCTGATTGTATTCGTATCAAAAGAACATAATTATTATGTAATATATGCCGGGCCTTTCCTCCCGTCGCCGTCGTCGCGAATTTTCCAAAAACCACACGCTTTACACAATTATAGCGATAATTTGCAGCGCTTTAGGGAAAAATTCCAGGCTTTGCGACTTAATAAGCGAAATAATTTACATTGTAATCTTATTCAGGCGCGAATGATAATGTTTCCAGGCTTCATTGTGGTAGCTGCTTGCGTAATGACCTTCGAGGCTCGTGATAGCGCCGCCAAGGTGGTGCCGGCTCGTTTCCGCTTCAGCCAGGCGTCGACAATCAAAAGCTCAAAGAGCCAACGCAACAGAAGATCAACATCGAGTCAAACGACAAAATGGGACCATCAGCTGGGGCTTTTCAGGGTGAACCGCAGCCCGAGTCCCAGCACGCACGAGGTCTCCCGGAAACAGCTGACGGCGGAATTCATGCAATTCTCGAAAGACATGCGAGAGAAAGGAGTAACGCACTCCATGAAGAAAAGTCCGAGCGCTCCGACGTTGATCGACAAAAAGTCGCCGCGTCAAAAATCGCCTAAATACGCCGCTTGTTCGCTGTTAAATCCGGAATTGCTGCAGAGACACGCTCTCTCAGTCGACAATCCGAGCTACAGCCCGCATCAGGTAAAAGAAAAAACAATCAATGCTCTCGGCGATTTTACTTGCAAAAGTAGTCGATCAAAAATTCGTCCTCATTGTTAACAGATAAGCAGGGAGAGTCTGGAGCATCAGAAGATGAACGGTAGCCAAGTCTCAATGGCAATGGATTTACATATTCCGAACAAAGGTCCCGTTACGCTCAAAGTGAAGGACCGATCCGATACAGCGAGACGTCATCAACTACTGCGTCAAACAAAAGTGGAGGATGTCGAAGAAGTCGACGAAGTCGCGCGAGCACCGCCGACTTTCGTGCATTCGCCTAAATTGCCAGGTGAATATAAACAAAAGCAAAAAGAAAATTAAGACATTCAATTGGTGTTTTTTTAACAAATAGATATGATTAAAAATATCTATAAATGAAAAATCTATTCGATGGCAAATGATTTCCATTCAAGTGACTAAAGACTAAGGATCATTAATTTTGTAAAAACAAAAGAGGCAATTATATACGAATTTTCATTTGTTAAGTGATAAGTGATGACTCAGATGGTTAACTAAAACATATGTTTACTGATTGATAAATTTATTTATTTATTTATTTATTTATATGGGAAGTATCTTTTTAGTAGAATATGTTCGACAAATAAAGTAATAAAAGAAGAAAAATAAAAATAAAATGTAAATAAAATAAAAAAAAAGTAAGGTATTACCTATAAAATTCAAAATAAATTTTAATAATCATAAACATCTCGATCAGGTCCTTATTGTAGATATCCAGACGACTTCGTGCCAAGGAAAAGAAACTCGATAGACTTAAGACTGCTGGAGGAATTGACGGCGGTGTCGAAAGAACTTGGTAAGGTCTCACCGCGAGACTTCCGAAAGATCTCATCACCCAACTTCCGTAAAATGTCCTTCGACAGAATTGGCGGTGATCGTCGCTTCGATAGAACGATGGGACATCGAAAGGCCAGTCTCGAATTTCGAAGAAGCCCCGACTTCCGAAGAGGAGATTATAGGTAACGGAAAGATTCAAGTTCCACATTTATTGATCCATGTCTTAGGTAACGTAAAACATGAAGACTCCTAATCAAGGGAGGGGGAGAAAAGATATCGAATCAAATTAAAAAAAAAAAAAAAAAACATTCCCTGATTTTCTCAATTTGTTAAAAATTTCAAACAAAATGAAAATATTTTTAAATATATCTTGCAAATGAATACATATTTATTGTGCAAAATTCTTAATATTTCCCAAAGGTTTATAAGTCATAAAATAAAATTAGAAATCACTCGAGTTTCAACGATTAAATGGAAATTTTTAAAAGAAACTTTCAAGCAAGGAATTTAAAAAATAAATATTTTATATTGTGCATAAAATTTTCAAATTTTATTTTCAAAAATTACTAACCAGAAATTATGTAATGCATAACCGGTAAAAGAAAATATATTATAAATATAAAAGAAGTGCTAATATTTAAACATTATACAGAAACTTAAAAGCAATCTTAAATATGTATATACAGAGAATGTTAATAAATTCGTGTCTACGATTTAAATAACGTTATTTCGTATTAATTAAAATTAAAATTAATTAAATCAAGTCGAAAAATACTAAACTATTTTTCTTTATGATTTTTAATAAAAGAAATATTACTAAAGAAAGAATTTTAATAAAAGTAATATTACTAAATAAAATTCAGTCAATCACACAATAGTTATCTATGAACAACGCGATATGGCTTGCAGACAAATGTCCACTTAAAATTTACGAATTTCTAATAAAATTTCCTGAGAGTTCTCTGATTTTTCCAGGAATAAACAAATTCCTTGAGAATTCCAGGTTTTCCAGGGTGTTTCAGGTATTAGACACCTTGCTGAATTGTTCAATCGAATTTACAGGAAGCTCTCGATAGACAGATTCAGCGTCGACTGTACCCGATATATGCTTGACGAGACGGAGATGAAATCGCGAACGAGCAGCGGGGAGAATCTGCGAAGGCAGCCGCGTCATCCTAAACTGCACCATTCCCGATCGGACGACAACAGGAGGCGATCCTTTGACAGACATCCGAAGGACCCTCAGTCGAGTCGACACTCCTTGAACACCCAAGCCGTCATGGAGGGTTCCGGATGTGATTTCGAGCAGAAATACTTTACAACAATATCTCTCGACACCGAAGAGAGCCGCGGCTACAACTCCGACGAAAGTCATGTGGTGGACATTGAGGACGCGAATCTTGGCGCTGCGTCGTCCAACGGACCCACGGAGGCCGACATGCTGCTCGAGGAACCGGAATTGGAGAACGTCACGGAGATCGACGTGGAGAGCTCCGGCGACGATCTCGACGAGGACGAGAGAACAGACGCACAGATGGCATACGGACAAAGTCCAATAATCGTCACCGAGGTCTTGGACTCGCCGACGATCGTCGACGAGGAGACGGTACGTGACTCTGGGCTGATCGATAACGAGAAATACGGAGCAACTGTGTACATAGAGGATGACGAAGTGTGAAGAGTCAGAGGTGCTCTTCGGGATTAACGCAACGCACCCAGCATATCCTGGGGAAAGTAACGGCGACGAATTCGCGAAGCAATTGGGAATTGATGGAGCTCGGCTTTGTTGAGAATGTTCGTTCCGACGAAGGATCAGCGCAACTGCTGTAGTCGTAGCCGGGCGATTGTTTGTTGAACGCGGGACGCGAGACGTCGCGAAATATGCTCAACGATATAAGATTTAACACGGCATAAGTAATAACGAAATCACGTTCGAATTGCGTTTTGTAACGAGACAATCGTTTTCTATCAGCGCCGTCTTTCGCGGGAAGGCGACGAGCGTAATAACATTTGCCACACCGATGACAAATAATTGTTACCGACAAATTTTGAGGTAGCGTGTAGACGGTAATAGACCTAACGTAAGGTAGAATTCGTTGAAATGCATTCGACTACACGTACCGAAGAGGTTTTTGTACTCGTAATGCAAGACGCGACGTGACGTAATGTAATGTGGCACGTTCGCTTGTAAATATTTCAGAGGAACGTGTGGCACGATTCAGAGTGAATCTCAGGTTGTGAAAGTGACGTTAAAATGCAGAGCGTCCTAGAAAGCGCGTGCTAATTTTGTCAAATTTCCCAGATGCGAGAACAGATTCACGATTCGGAACGTTACTCTTCGTTGAGTAACAAGTGGAATTTTAACGGATTTTTAATCTATTAAAAACTATCGAAGCGAGTTTAAGCGGCACAAAATGCGCGATAACTGGAGAGTTCTGCATACTTTACGACAAATATACGAGGATTGTGGTAATGTTTTAAAGGAGTTCTATGAGAAATATATCATGTGTCAAGATCTCACTCGTACACCACCGAAAGTATCTTTAAGACTCTTCTTGAAACCAAGTATGAAACATATGTGGGAACTTGAACGTTTATAAATCTCAGGTCTCCTCCAACCTGTTGTTAACGCGTTTGCCGCGAAATATACGCGAAACTGCGGCCTATATCGTGCTTTCTCGTTAAGAGTTAGTCGACGAAAAATCATAGATCGTGTATAAATTTGACGAGCGCGACGACCTCCGAGAATCTCTCGGTACGTTCGGCTCGACTAACGAGAGAAATGAATTATACAAAATTTCTAGCAAAGTCAGACACTCTCTTCTCTACAATGGCGTCGAGTGCAACAGTTATTCATAATGAAGTGACGGCTTAGCCGCGCGTGTAATATATTTTTATATCCACACAGCGATATATGATAGCTCGTATAATGTTGATCATATATATTGACGATCAAGATCAATATCGACAATGATCGAGATCGTTTTCGTTTTGACAAACGTCTGGTTTGAGGAAAATGTACACCTGCCTTCTGATAAACTGACTCGCCTGAAAGTGTGACGATAATGGTTATCTTTGTTGCAATCTAGCAATCGATAAAATTATTGTTCAGGACTTTAATACGGTTGTGCAAATTATGATTCGTACACTTGTCGATTAGATGAAGCATACAGGCCATCTCAAAATCTCCACGACTTTAATTTCAATGTCGAATTTCCTGAAGAATCTAAGATGCATTATTTCTTAAGAATAATTCTGAAAGATATCGTCACGTTTTCCGCAACTTCTTCTTCATATTTATAATCAGATATATCTTCGTAATTATATCTTTGATCGTGAAATTTCTGAAATATCTCTCTTTATAACTAAGCTGAGGAAACATTTTTATCTTTAAATTGGTCGAATAATCTTCAATTAGAATTAGATGTTAGAATTAAAGTCGAAGAGATTGAGAGATACGTATATCCAAGTCCTGTGACCGCTTATATATAATCAATAGTCAAATGTTGAGTGCGAAACGATCAATATCTTTGCCCTACACTCGATCTCAGTTGCTTTCTAACGTAGGAGATAACGTGAAAGAAGTAACGTAACAAAAAAAAAAATGCAATCATTATATGCAATATATTGTTGATATATCGTAAATTAACGAATTGGAGATATCGGTAGATATCGAGATAGATATTGATATAATAACATCTTTCTCTTAAAAAACGATCTGGTATTTTTCTACCAGAAATGTAAAATTAGTAACACTAGCAAATGTATGAAAAATTGTGAACGGAGATTAAGGTCTTTCATAATTTTCTAACCCCTCGTTGAAGCGGCTCACGTGTCTGTTAGCTGCTGTTTTACATAGTAAAGAATGATAAGTTGTGACTACGGTTATCGTTCTGTAGAGGATGTAAACCTGTGTGAAGTGCATAACTAATCATTAACCGAGTAAACATAATCAAACTGTGATCGAGGTATAACTCAATGAGAAGCAGTACTGCTAAGTAATGTTTCTTGCAAAACTGCTCATGGATCAGCAGTGTTATCTCAAGTCGAGAAGTAAATAGGCAAAACGCGACTAAAGTAAGATTTATCAAAATTGATAAACATAAAAGAATGCCTCCTTAAATAAAAGGAAACAAATAATTTGTTTTACTTCAGTTTCATATTTGTAACTTGGTCGATATGTTAATGAAAAAGATATAGAAATTGTTTTAGGAATATTTCACGGCGTACAATCAAATATTAGAAATACTTGAATCTTTTTGAGGTATTCAACGATATCGTTTGCAATATTGCAGCGTATCTCTCTAAAGTTCAGAATCTACCGCATGAACTACGGTCGGTACTAATTCTTGTATAGTTAATGAACAAGCCTGAACAAATAAGCGTCGGTGTGAAATTTTTAAATCAATGTAACCCTTGCATGCTAATTGTTGTAACATATCAATAAAAAAAAAAGCATTCCAGGACCAATGACACCTGTGTACTTTTCAGAGAAAACTATTCTAAACACATAGGCCCCCGTTTTCTCATTTTTCGATTGTGATTTAGGCTTAACCTGATGATAACGTAAAAATTACGTTTTTCTATTTATGGCTAATCATTAGATATTTAAAGTTACTACTATAAGAAAAACGCAATTTTTGCATTATCATCAGTTTAAGTTTAAATCACAAATTAATCGGGAAATGGAAAAACCGAGCCATAGAAACATTATGTATAAAATAATTCGGATTCGTAATAATTCAGATCGTACTTTCTCCCATCAGTAGTTTCGATTAAAAATCCAAAACGGCAGAGTTCGTTTGAACGTCGGTCGGTTAATGGGACTTAGACAGCTATTCAGATTTCTAACGAACCAGTAGCACTTTCTGCGGGGAGTTTACCCGCTTTCACCGGCACGCAATTACAATCGCGGCGACCTTATCTGAAATCTTAATTAGAGACGCTGCTCGGTTCGCGGACATTCACGAGAGCATATTCCCGGAAGCAGTAACGTGATATGTCAAAAATAAACAAAAAAAATTCAAGTTACCGTATTGGCGCACGTGGTTTGAACTCGAGCCGATCAAGTGGATTCGCGCAGTTCTGCGGAACAGACCCCAGGTGGCGGATAGATGTCCGAACGAGGACGCAGACATGTGGCGAGTCTTCGGGAGCAAGGTGGGAGGGCGTTATCGGAATGGGAGGGATAATCGAAGTAAAGAAAGAGAGAGGAGGAGAGCCTACAGTCTGGTGTCCCAGGTGTAACTTGCCGCTCGCTCGAGCAGTGCATCGCCGAACGTTACACTCGGCAGGCGGCTCGCCTCCGCGTCACGTCGCTTATTAACACACACACGCACCGCAGTTCTGTCTTTCTCGCGCTTCGATTCGCGCGAGAAACTCGCCGAGTGTTTCCTAAGTTACGAACGATGCCTCGGTAAGCCACGTACCGCGGAGGAGCGAACGACGCACGGAGAAATGTCTTCGGAGCGATTTCACAAGTGAGTGGATTTTTACTCACCGCACGTGCGTGTGCGCGAGGATGTGCGCGTGTGTGCACATGTGTGTGTACGTGCGACCGCCTGTATCATTTTCTTTGCTCTTGTTTTCGTATACGCGCTCGCACGTAGGACTTGTCCCGGGGTCCGGAAAGCGGAGAAATGTCGTGGGGCGAGGTACTCGCCTTGGAATGGAAAAAAATCGCCGAGTCGACTGCGCGCTCGATCGCGCGAAGCGATTCAATAGCGCAGGGAGAATAGCGGTTGGAGAGGTAGTATACCTGAGCAGTCGAGCATCGACCAAGTTCACAGCTTGAACAATTGAACTTTTTTTTTTACGAACATATTATTTCGCCCGACATCGCGGGAAACGTGAACACGGCAACAACGTAATATACGATCGTTAATTGATTTCGTGAGAAACTTTGCTTCTGCACTTGGAAATCAAAGTGTGTTATTTTCACACGTACAAATGTCTAAAAATGAAACATCTGACCGCGGCTCTTTTTAAATATTTCTTGTCGTTTTAGGTTACGTCATTTAAGATGTTTAATTGTGTTAAATTATAAGTTAACGCGTCCAATCGTGTTAAAATACCGTGATTTAAAACGGCAAATGTGTAAGAAAAGCTAAGATAACACTTGAATTTGCAGTGTGCTATTTTTCTTTTTCCTTTTACGACGAGGACGAATTAAACTTTCGCTCTGACAATGTAACGTTTGAAAAGATTTTTTTCCTACAATTCGCGAAAATGTTGCATAATTTACCAAGCTGAGTGTCGAATTATTCGCGATGGATCGACGGTGATCTTTCGCTCACGCTGATCGAAATAATCACAGCGGAACAGAAAGATATTAGAAAACCCCTCACATTTCAAGTCAAAGTGCAAATGTTAGCAAGTTGTTGGAATAAATGGAGACAGGCTGAACGTCACGCGATCATTAACGCACGATGCTTTAACGGGCTTGTTAGCATCGCCGAACAGATAAGAAAGGGCGATAAAGATCGTGCGAATATGCACATCCGCGCGCTAAGTGATATATCCGATTTATTTCATAAAGGGATTAAAAGGTTCCGAATGCCTAGTTACCTACGAATCCGGAATAATGGGAATGAAGTCCGTGATCATGGGCTGTTTCAACCGCGGCGCGACGTGCGCATCGACGGAGCGCGTGCGGAATTTATGCATGAGAGGCTCGTGCTCTTGTTTCACTCGGTATGGATTTACTGTCCGGATCATCCGTAGAAATTCCAAACCCGTTCCCGAACGCATTGACGTTATAATTCAACCGTATCGTCGAAATACCAGGAAAACGTGTTACACCAAAGAAAAAGATTCGTTGAATTAATGTGACAACGGCGCGTCCTTGGTCGAAGGAAATAAAATTTTTGAGAATTTCTTAAGATAATTGGCCTGTCAAACCATTTTCTTAGGAATCCATTTGAATTTTAGCCGCATATTGATGGAAATATTATCTACACGCCTGTCAAGGTAGAAAAAGATTGACCATTCAGAAGCTGAGATATTCGCAACTGAAGATGATACTTTTTATACGTGCCCCTTAAGGTTAATATTCTATTTTGAATTTCTATTTTGAATTTATTCTAAACCACACTTGATATTTTAATGGAAAATCATGTAACATTAAGAACTAATATAGAAACATTATACAAAAATTTTAGAAATTTGGATCATATTGTTTTGAAGGCATACACAGTAAAAAACTTGGCATTAAATTTGACACATTTCACATGTCTCAGACGGTCCGCGACAATTTTTATGTTAATTTAACACAAAATGAATATATTGAAACGATAAGCTTATGAAGAGGCCCCTTAATATCGCTAAAAATCCGACACTCTAAGGACCGACTATCTTAAGAGTTGAATTTGATTCCAGAATTCCAGAAAAACAAGAACCAGAAATTCCGATTCCTTCGATAGAAACAGTTCGGTTCATTCAGTGTCGCATTAATTTAACCGGTCTTCCTTTTCCGTGTATAAAAAATGAAGGCTGAAATTATTCTTAGCAGAACGTGAGTCGAAAGTCGCGTATTATGTCTCGGCTGGCTACGCGCAAAAACGCACACATACTTGCCTTAACACATTCCAATTTCCCTAATTAAGAAGAGAGAAACTGCGGATCGCGCTCGCGTCGCTGTAGTACGCATAATTTAACTAGTAATTAAAATATCACGTCGTAAGCAACGTGTCGCGCGAGCGACGAGGTAATCTGATGTTGAGACGCGTGGATATAAACTCACTTCGCTCTGGAGGTCTCTGCTTGCGATGAAACTCGCGATTCTTTTCCGAGAAGCGTAACGATAATTAGAAAACGATCCGGCTGAAATGCAAGGCACTGTGATGTGTCGCATGATAAAATAATGACAGGCCAGCTTTCGCAACGTGGTGCTACGAGCAAGCAAAAAAATGTTTTCGTTCTCAATGACGGTATAACGTGTTTAGAATAAATCGAGCGTTACGACGAGGTACGCGTTTAAGTGCGCGTACATTACGGACTCGTTGTATCAGTTAACTCGCGAATGTTCAGAAATTTTTTGTAGATGTTGCACTTTCTTCGAGAACTTGCGCATACTACGTAACGTATTAAGATAATGTGTAGAAAATATTCTGGATCGCATACATATATGCATATACTAGAGCATGTAAAGTCTTAATTGAATTGAGCCACTCAATGTAGATAGTTTCGACTCAACTCGTTAACTTAATTCAGCTATTCAAGATGTTCTCAAGTATAAACTCATTAACTCGGCCACGTTATCGTCTATTTAACAGTGTGATAATCTACAATAATAATATCGCCTTGAATATCAATAGCAATAATCTGATAAAATGATATTTTATATACATCGTTATGGAGAGAAACACATAAAGAAGCACATCTATAGTATACACATAATAACGTTACAATTTTTCAATACAAATGATTCTTCGAAACTCTCTTTATATATTTATCGTTCACTCTTTCGTTGCTCTTAATAATTAAAATTAATTATTCAAAATGATTTATGAACATATATATTCATTTTAATCTTAACGGGCAAATATTTCGAAAAATGGTAGGTACGGGAAAATGTTTCAGATAAAAGTTGTAAGGTTTAAAGGAGGACATAAGACGGTGATTTTAACTTCGTTATACAGTCAATAATTCAAGATCATTTCCACGTTAACTTCATTTTTTTCACCGTCTTAAAATTCGTCCCTTTTTAAATTCAACAATTTTCATCTGAAATATTTTCCCATATCTTCCATATTTTTTCGAAATATTTATCTGTTAAGATTAAAATGAGTCACTCTGTATGTCCACAAATTTTCACCATTGTATTTGCATCTGTTTTTCAACGTGATTCGTTAAAAGTATCAATATTTGTATCGATCCGCTTCATCTGATCTTTAGCGGCGGTCGAAACGAGTTGCGAGCTGCCTGAGAACATCTGGCAGATCGAACAAAGAATAGTATAATGCACAGGCTTCTCTTTGCGAAAGGGCTGCGCGGGACGGCGCGTTGGACGTTCTGAAGGAAGCCACGAGAAAGGATTGTAACGCGCGAGACGAAGGAGGAATGACCCCGACATTATGGGCAGCCTTCGAAGGTCACATAGATACACTGAGACTGCTGGTCGCCAGAGGGTATGCGTGCCTAATATTTTCTTTTCTTGCGTTTGACATAACTAGGCGCGAATGGCCAGCGTGTCGTGCACTTGCGTGCGTTTACGCTCAGTGGCGAAAAAATTTCTCTACAATAATTAAGAAGCATGTTTTCACGCTTACACAATATATAGCGCAGGTTGACTGTTTTATTTCGTGAAAGGACGAAAAGAATTGGCGAATCGCGTGTCACGGGGGGTTCTCCTCGTGAATGCGGGTGCACCGGAACCGTGAACGCACGCGACTGTACCTCACAATGGCACGCGATGGGTGATACACGGCCAGACATTCTTCCCGAACCGCAAATAATACATTTAGTCACCGTAACTTATTGTTGAGTCGAATACTCATAGGGAAAATATATAAGTAAATAATAATGGATATCTTATTTAAAAATTATATAGATGAATAACTTTTACCAAATAATTTGCACTTATGTAACTAATAAATGGCAATTACTTCGACCGTCAATGAAAATTCTATGTACGAATTTTAAGAAAAAAATTTTTTTCATCTTTATTAAATTGTTTTCAAAATCGAATTATCGAGAAATTAATTATATAACAGGAATATATCGCGTAAATATGAATCTCTATACGAAAAATATATCTGTGAATAAACTATGAATATAAATATATGAATTTCGAATAATGAATAAATTCTTACATATGAAGAATCTTTGTCATATACTTATAAAATATTTATAAGATATACACAAGTTAAATTTTGGAAATAAATAAACAATAAAATTGTATGGTATAGTCTGTCGTATAAAAATCGCATCTCAAATGGCAATGGGTAAAAAATAATATTAAATCGTGCAAGAGTTAACAACAAATTATATCGCAAATTGCGGAAATAAAGTGCATTTAACGACAAATGTTATTTTGCGTTTTAACCACTCATACGAGACATGGCTGCCCATCAGATACGAGGTCGTCGTGCCCCATGAGCACGACAGCCCCACTACAACTAGTACCTGATAATTACACTCACCGAACATGCGGGGGACTCGTGCCAGCTCCAAAATACAGGGAGTCCCTCGGTGTTTCCGGCGACAGAAACGAACGCGTAGAATCACGTAGGATCACGAACACACGTAGGACACCCGTAGACTTTCGTAACGAAGTCGAAAACAACCGCATTAATTTTTGTCGGTTTACCATAATCTGAAAGCAAATTATAATTACTTACAAATCATACTTGCTGATTTAATTAAATGTGTTAAAAACTAATCGAACTAATCCCATTCTTTTTGTAAAAGGAAGGAGTATTTATATCTATAATTCATAAAAAACACAATATTTTTAATTTATTGATTAATATACTAAAATTATAAAACATAATGATTGTATAATTTGTGAGTATGACTGTCTCTTATATACATCTAATCGGAGAGAAAAATATGTCAACTTACAAATGAGACAAAATAACTCAGAATATATAAATATTATAATTGTAATTGTAATTATTTATAATTTAGTAGTTATTTTACCTCACTCAAAAGTTATCGCATAATTTTCCCCAACAATTAGATACATGCTTACATAAAAGACAATTATGCTCATATATCATACAATTATATTTCGCAATAACAACAGCCTTCATAAATCACGAAATTAGCTGCTTTTTACACAAAATATTAAAAAGCTAAATCTAACGCTTCACACAGTACTTTCTCCAAGCATCACGCAAGCAGGCAATTTGCACACGCGACGATTACACGGATAATTATACCCGTGAACATTTACACTTGATGATAATCACATTCCCAACGATGTACGATAAGATCAAATATAATTTCATTCAAGTCGTGATCAATTTAAATACGGAAGAGTATATCTTACATAGCCAACCGCTTTGCTTGCATTATTGCACATAGCCATAGGGATCATTTTCACATATTTATCGCATCTCAAACCTATACTTACTGAATTTATATCGATTTCGACCTGGACTGGAAGTCGAAACTTCCAGTCTCGTTTTCGCGAGGCAACTCCGTCCCCTAGGATCCTCGCTCCGCTTTCGCATATTGTGATTGACAACATATGCAGGGGACAGGAAGCACGCATTACAGGTGTCCATCGACTGAAGAGCGGCGGAAACCACAGTCGAGCGCACGAAAGACAATGGGCCGGTGTATACGTGACAAAATAGTGGGCCGAAGCGAACCCACAGCGATGCAATATGTACCGAAAATCCTCGCTCGGATGTACTCCGCGGTAAATACACAACATGCGGCCCTCCTCGATCTGTTTCGAAGCAAGATATTCCGAATTAACACATCGATATCGATCATGTACAATCATGAATGCAACGGAACTAACAACAATATGGCCGTGGATTCTGTGGTTTCGTTGCCACCTACTGAATTGTTGGCGAAAACGTACACAAACGTACGTAACACACGTTGTACTACGATCATAAGATAGCAGACCGAATACTTACCACGTAATTGAGGATCGAGGTTGTCCATCCCATCCGTTGGCGGGATGAAATCGATGAAACGATCGTCGGAAAACTGGGAGCGACTGCGTTCTCCAGAAATTCCTGCGAAAGTGAACCGCTTCATAGATAAATGAGCGGAACGCAGGAACGAGGAACGACGGTTACCGCTACATCGATACGTGTTGCGCTTCATTTGGCCGTTCATGTACTAAACGTCATTCCGCCTCACTTTGTCGTGTACAATAAGGACGATAGAATGACGTTTACAGAATATGAGCATTCAAAGCGAACGCTGCCATGGACTGAGCTCGTCTTCCACGCTTTCGTGTTGAAAGCGTCTCGTTGTATCTTTATCTCTCATTACACGCCGAAAGCAGATAGAACGATGCTTTCAGCATCGAAAGTGTGCAAAACGATTTCAGCCATGAGGTATCGCGGTGGATCACTGTCAATACTGAAAACTTGCACGTAACATAAACTGCAAATTTTCATTGACGGTGAATATCGAAGCACAGACATAATCTAGCTACTGGAAAGTGCAACCCCCTGTGATTTGTGTCGCACGATCGTGATTACAAGTGACAAGTGCGTGACTAACTTATTAGTGTCGGCGGGCGAGATAAGTGCCTGTTTCATTTCTCGCTCGAATGACTCAGCCGAGACGAACCGACGAACAGACGAAAGTCTCTCCTGGATGAGGACCCCCTTGAGGGAAGACTTTGGAAAATCGCCATTGACCGAGAAGAACGACGCGAACTGGACCAGCGGAATGCGCGGGAACAAATCGCGAAACTGCTGCACAACGACGCGCATCCGCCGCGGAAAAATACACCCCGTAATTCCCGCCGCGCGATTATGATTTGAAACGGCCAATATCGTATTTTCAGTGGCGCATTAAGGGGGCCACTCATAAGTATAGTAATTATCAAACAAAATTACGTTTCTATACATTTATTTCACTACTTAAATAATAAGTGTTAATTTTGGAAACGAAATTGAAATAAATATGTACAGGGTGTCCGAAACTTTTCTTTCAAACGCTTGTGTGAAGATATAACGGATTAAATTGAGCGAAAAAATCCTCTTTCAACAGACATCAGTATATTGAACCTTGAACTTGGAACTTTGAACCTGTCGTTAAATACAGCAGCTGTCATATATTCGTAGATTAAATTAGTTAAACTACTCTGAACAAAAAAATCCTGTACTATTTTGCAAATAGAATGCAAATTTTTTAATTAACACTTAAAGAAGCCTTTATACATGGTCATTTTCAATCATTAATAACTCGAATGAGTTCGTTTATAAACTGCTTCGAGCTAATTTTCATTTATTTTTCAAATATACATTTCGAATGCGCTAAAGATTTTACCATCTTTATTCAACATTATACTCTTTGTATATATTATATGTTTATTATTAGATTCCAACATTTGTTTGTTTTTTTTCTGAAATCTACACGACCTGTCTCACACATTCGTCCGACATAACGTTACCGTTTTATCGCAGAGGCGATCCAGACAAGACCGATTATTTCGGCAACACGTGCCTTCATTTGGCAGCGGCGAGGGGTCACGAATTCTGCGTGAAGTTTTTAGTGAAATTCGGATGTAATATCTGGTCGCTGGATATCGACCGGCACTCAGCCAGGGAGCTCGCGGCGATCAACGGCTGCGAGAGGATCCTGCAGTTCCTGGATCTCGCCCAGGCCGATCAGGAACTGAATAATCGCAAGAAAAGCCGGCTGCTCCGGGAAAAGGCGGAGAAGGATGCGGAGAAGAGGTGTAGCTGGAATGTCAATTGTTTTTGCGCTACCGGGCGAGAGAATAATATCGTAGTCGCTCGCTGATCGTGCAGTAGAATCGTGCTTCTACGATAGAACGTGGATGGTCTCTTTGCAAACAGTTTCAATTTTCCTTTTTACATTTTAACAAATTGTTTTATTATATTAAATCGTGCTATATTGAGCTTTTATTAAAGAAACATGAGGATTTAGATGCGTTATAGATTTACAAATTCGAATCGGTTTTCAGAGTGATTTTCAAGTAACCGTGGTGTTTCCAAATAACCATTCGAAATCTCTTTCTCAGAATAAATACACGAGAATGACCGAATAAAGAACATTATTGTGATTTAATTATTTTCGTAAATGAAAATGTTAGTCTTTTTCAGTTATTAATTAACGTTAGAAATTTGCTATTTTCATACCATTCTCCTTTGACTTATTAATTATTTATTTTCTGATATGTCAAGATTTTTATACTGATTGGGAAAATATCTATTTGTTAAGACTGAAAGAATACATGAAAAAACAAAAGGTGGCTGAGTTGAGAGCGGAGAAAGAACAGAAAAAACTTATAAAGGATCGCGCTAAATCGGACTTGGATACAATGAATGAGATGAATGGCCAGAGACTCGGTGTACTAACCTTTAGAGGTCGAATGAAACCTTCGCCGACATTCAGCGATATCGTCGGTACCACAACAAAGAGAAATGGTAGTACAGTTTGCCGAAAAGCTTTAGCAAAGAAAGCCGTCAACGATTTTAAAGTTGTAGAGGTAAGAAAAGAAATTTTAGGGAGATTTCCAACGATTCGTAAAGAATAAAAAAATCTCGAATTTGGGATTAACTTTTCAAATTAGAATGTTGCCTTTGAATATTAGAGTCCAGATAAAACAGAAAACGATGATCAAAAATGAAAATGATGAAAAAATGATCGAGAAATAAGTTTTATCGTCATTTTCCCGTCACTTTGACGTCATTTTCTGTTCTACACTGAAAAAGGTGCAACATTCAAGTTAATATTTGCTAAAACATATTGAAGTGATTATTTTACCTGAATTAAATAAATATTACTTGAATGTGGCACGCTGAAAAAAAAAGTGTTACATTCAAGTGATATTTGTTCTATCCTCTCTCTCTCTCTTTAGCAAATATTTACTTCAATGCAGTTTCTCCTTCCAACGTGTCTGGGAGAAAATCAGGAATATAATATGCCAATATATATCGCATTGCAGGTCGAAGTAAATGGAAAGAAATCTATTCGAAGTTTAACCGGCGTTCGACGGGATTCCGAAGTTATGTACGTAGGCACATACGATACTCAGCCTCAGCACATGGGCAGAAGGGGCAAGATCTCCGACGTGTGGGGCACTTTGAGTAAATCGCAGAGCACGCCCGACCTCTTAGGTGAAAGGATATACGACGAGGAGGAGGAGGACAGGGAGGAAGAGAATCTGAATGTTGCGAAGGACACTGCTTTCCTTCAGGAACCGGCGAGCATTTTTAATCGACCTGGTTTCGGATCGGTGGCCTTCAGGAGGACGGTTAGTCTTAATAATCAAACAACATCCTCTTGTACAACTATCAGTTATGTAAACCGGATGAAAGTAATAAATTCAAGCTGCGGTTGGCAAAGATTCAATTACAAGCCACGTCGTGACATTTCTCGAATCTATTGTATTCTGTGTTCACAATTATTCGCTGATATCAACGCTTCTTATACGCGTATTGTAATAATAAACTTAATATCGCGAATGAGCGTTCCGCGCGGCTACACGCGAAGAGACCACCCAACTGGCAAGAAACCAGTACGCTTTAACGTCGCGAGCCGGTGTGTATTTTCCCCTGCGAGAAGAACTATCGCTCGCCCCAATTGAGTCACGATTCCGCAGTGAGACAAAGAAACGAGTTGTGGGAATTGTTGCGGAAACGCTAACGATCTCCTAAACGGTTGCACCATACAATAACGTGCCACGTAACAGAGACAATCATCGCACACCCCGACCACGTAATTATGCGGCTAAAGAGGGATAGATGGAAAATCTAATAAGCTAATTGGTCATTTCTTTCGCGTATCACCGTTCCATGAGACGCAACGTAATTTGCGTTTTCAGATAACATCCACGCTGGACAACCTACCGGTCACGCAGACGGACGTTCAACTTCAAAACGGCCACGTTCCTGTGAATGGCTCCGCAAATGGATCCATAAACGGCAACAAGTTTAGCCCTAACGGACATAACGAGGAGATCAGTATAGGAAGTGCCGGCAGTTTAGCGCGCAGACAAAGCCTGTGGGACGAGGATTTGCTTTCAGGCAAGTTAAACACAAGCATCTCCGGGTAGAACAGAAAATAAAGGAGACGTGAAAATAACGTCAAAATGATGAAAAATTGATCGAAAAATAGATTTTATAGTCGTTTCCTCGTTATCTTGACATGATTCGGGCATAATTTTGACGTCATTGTTATTTTCCTCTCTACCTGGAATTGTAGCAAAAATTGAAAACATTATTATATAATATATATAATGTTATTATATATAATATGTTATTAAATTAAATTTACAAATTTATTGAAAGAGTTGATTTCTCATATCTCATATTGTGTAGAAGGCGAAGAGACGGACGAGGAATGGACACCCTTGCAGAGATTTCTGGCCGCTAATAATCTGACGTCGATACAACCTGTCTTGGAGTCCGAACAAATCGATCTGGAAGCCCTGATGCTGCTTACCGAGACCGACATAGCGGCCCTCAAACTTCCTCTCGGCCCCAGAAGGAAACTCACCAACGCGATTGCAAATCGGAAAAAAGCTCTAAGCGCGCCGGAAAGTGTCATCAAGGACAGTAGATTGTGAAAATATTGTGTCACGACAATGCTATCGACGAAATTACCCGCTCACGCTCGCAAATGTGACAAAATAAAAATATGTGCGGGAATTAAAAATTAGAGAAAATGTGAATTCTAATTATCGAATATATCAAATCGAGATTTCCTTATATGAGTCAAGCGAACTGACGATTAAAAATTAAAAATTAAAGAGAAAAAAGAAGGAAAAAAATATCGTTAACAACCAGGTTGAATAATGAATCGTACATCGTGATGGTGCTATTTTAAATCTAGAAATATATCTACGCAGTCCTTAACACATATCATAATGTTCTTAACAGAATTCTTCTGTGCCTTCTAATTTTCATAGTTCACATCTACCATTAGCATATTTTTCTATATATACTATTACATAGTACTAAATTGAAATGATCTCTATCGGATCACTATAATCGATCGATTTTACACAATCGGCTAAACTATACTCGTAATTACGTAAGCGATCGTTGATAAAGATTGTATGAAAGATAGGAAAGAAAGGAAGATTAAGTTCTTCGACGATACTAAGTAATAAGTAACTAGTATATGCCATAACGAAAAAGAAATTCAATACACTGCCATAAAACATAAGGCGTTTATGTTTGTGAAAGCACGTTGCTGTATCAACTTTTGCTTAGCGTGCTAAACTCTGATCTACGCATCGTATATTATTGTACTATACACGAAATTTCCTAAATTCGCATATTTATTTGAATAATGTAATCATACACATTTTTAACACTAGAACTGCGGCTGGATCATTTTTTACCCATTTGTAGATTCTTTTCTTTCCATTTCTTTCGATTTTCATCACTGGGAAATTACGTTCATAATATCTTCTTTATCATAAAATAATTAAACAATATCATGAAGTTCAAAAAAGGCCACGAATAATTACGAAAAAGAGGCCCATCAAAAGTGACTCAATCCGCAGTTTTAGGAAGGGAAAAATTGCCGCGGCTCAAGTGTTAATGCACTTCTTCACATTGATAGCATTAATTGATGTATCAAACTGTATATGAAATAATCGTCGGATATCATCGATGAGTCTCATGTTACATGTGATAACCAGGGTTCAGCTTTCAACGTCATTTATGAGGCGTAACCGCCACGATTAGCCGCTGAGGTACAACAATAGAATATTGAACCCTGACTAGTTTTCGGATATGGGCAGGTAGTTTAGCTCAGCTACCTACCTGAGGGAGAACAATTGTACGTAGTGGTACTTGATTTGTGCCTGTAGTGATGATGATTTCCATTGCGCGCGTGTGCGTGTCTATTACGCTTCAGATAAAACGATGTGTAATTTTCGCATTCTGTTGATATAATCGCAATAATGTGAATTAAATTATCTCAAATATACTTCATATTGGTAATGTTGACTTCGTGAGATCGTGTATAGTACATATTGTACCATACAAAATTACGCAAAATGTACAAAACAAATGTGTGACAATAAAGTATGTATATACGTATACAAGATGTGGTTTCTATTCGCAAGGGGAAAAAAGTTATATTGCGTACAATGTAGAGGGAAGAAAGAACGCCTCCGCACGTCTATATCTTCTTTTTCCTCGTGATTTATTTGTAAATGATTATCTTACAAACAAGAGGCGCAAAAATATACAAGCTTCTTATGTTCGCAAGAAAGTAACAGCACCATTTCACGCCTTGCCATGAACGCGTCGTGCCTAATCAAGGCGTCATGTTCGTGCAAGTCTCATGTCACGGTACACTTATTCTCGCGGAAGTGCACCACAGTTTGCAGCAATGTGCATCGGATAATGATAGAAGAAACGAGAAAATAAATAAAACAAGAGGAGATTTCAATCGTTCATAAAACCTTTCGGTGCGTCGATTTCATCAAACGTAGTACAGTCGGCATGATAAATGTTGCAACACTTCTTTTTCTCGATGAGTTTCACAATGCGCTTCGTATCCACGAGGAAAATGTATTTCTTGAGAATTGCTAAAAAAAATAAACTCTCCTATCGGATACGAAAAAAAGCGTTGCGAAATTCATCGAGAAAAAAAGTGTTGCAAGTTGTATTATGCCGACTATACCGTGTCTATACATTCCTGTATGATATAAAAGATGTAAAATATATCATCATATCACGCCATGAATTCAGGTCTTTCTGCAGAATATCCCCAAATTCGCGATCTTCAAGATTCCGCGCAATTTGGACAACTGACTCTCCGGAAAATCCACCAACAATCACTGATTGCGAGATACCTCCAATGCACATAATCATAAAACATATATTTTTAAACATCTGAGCGTACCGCTCAAATCATTTACGTTGTGAGTAATTTCGAAGTATTGCTTGTAAGGATTATTTTATCGTACGAAAAAAATAAAAAAGAAAAAGAAAGATAAGGGATAAATTAAAAAAAAGAAATATACGTTGTATATATAACAAACAATAAATTGTACAGAATAATTTTGTATACAATAAATTTAAATTTGCTCGATGCATTGCAGCGTATGATGCTACATCTCGTAACCGCAGATTTCCGACGAGATAATTCTCTCATGAGAAAGGGAAAGCTCCACGTGTGTGGGAAAATTCTTTTCGCTGACCTCGAAGTGTCTCGTCTCTCGCGTACGGGTTGCCATTATGCAAGCTAGGAAAATGCCAATCGTGCAAAGTTTCCAGCGGAACGGCAGCGCACCCGAGAGCCGGCCACTCGCTAACGAAAGAAAAACTAAACGATTGCCACCACCGGCGATCTTGCGATCAAGGTTTTGATTATGCAATCGGGAGACGTACCACGAACACATGAAACGGAACGGTGGCAGGTCGGTGCCTGTAGAGTTATCTCGGCATCGTACCGCCGAGAGATTGGTGCGCTCACTTACGGGTAAAGTGTACCTAAGTATGGCATCTTCGTACGAGATATACCTAAGTTTTACGAATTACTTTCTTCTATCATAATTACGAAAAGAACATTTACACAGGAGAGATATCGACAGCTGGAACGGGCGTCAGGAAGAAACGTACTGCGCTGTGAGAATAATTGCGCGAGCATAGAAATTTTCCGAGTGGCCTCGATGGGCCGCTGTCGTATTCGCTTGCGTGAAAAGGGACACACTTTTCTTCCATGACTGCGTTCGATCTGCGTAACGGTAGACATCTAAACGGTTCGCTCGTGAAAAATAAATTCTCCACGGTTGTTGCGTGTTGTTTCTCACTGTGATGCGAGACTCTCTATTTCTCGCCGACCCTGCATCGCCGCCGATCTCGTCATTCAAAGAAATAGAAGTCAATAATCAAGTACTCGGGATTTCATCAACTGCCGATCGCACGATAAATATCATTGTTAAAGCTATCGCATAGTAGTCAATACTAGTAGTGATAATAATATTAGCGATATATCTATGGTTATCGTTTGCCGTTATTAGCATACGCTATATTTACAACTGAACAACAATCTTTGCTTCTATTATGGATGCCGCGATCTCGCAAGGAAACGAATAAAAACGTATATTGCGCTTCTACGTGACTTTTGAAGGACGACTAAGCGAACTTCCCCGTCGAACAACGGACGACGATAATGTTAGACAGTTGAGCGTACCTAGTACGTACAATAACCTGCCCGCCAATACATCATGAACACTCGTAACAATGTGTAACAACCTTCCCACTTTGCCAATCACAATTAATCATCTTCCAAATTCAGATAGAAGCAGCATGAGACGTACTAGCTAGAAATAATGTACATTCACAATCATCGTCGTAAGATAGGGCGGCGTCTCACTCACTGATATAAATCGTCAAACACAATGTTTCTTTATAAAATACACTGTTATATATATATATATATATATATGTGTAAGTACGCGCGAGCATGTATGTATATATATGTATATTCATNTATATATATATACATATGTATATTGCAATCTCTTTATCACACCTATTTGACAAAGCCTACGTTCAATAAGATAGATAGTTGAGATGATACAGCAAACAGGTCACGCTGCCAAGAGTTGTGGCAAAACCAGATCCACATTTTTCATTGCAGAACTTCGACGTAGACTTTGTTCGAGATGTAAAGCTTGACACTTGTCCGATAATTCATTTATCCTTATTAGTCTATGTATCAACAAAAACAGAACTACATTGAATTACATTGTCCCGTCGCTTATTCGTCGTGTTAATTTTCGTGTCGTGTCGAATTTTCTCGAAATTCTAAGAAACTGATCATTCTTCACACAACCCTGAAATTCTCATATTAAAAGTATCGTGTTTCCAATCTCTTCGTCGCAATTCACAACGAGGTGTCTTTAAGAAAATTTTCACTTACATCCTCGTGACACTTTAAGTTAACGATTTTCAGACGTTTGAGAGATGAAACGTTTCATCTCAGTATCGATCTTATAATTACGCCTAATGGCGTAAAACTCTGGCTACACAAAATGGAAGCCAAGAACCCAGGCAACAGCCAATTTGGATCCACCGTGTATAAATGAGAGTGTGATGAGATACGAAATAAAACAGGATGTACAAACAAGTAACATAAACGATATAATTATAATTAAATAGGTATTATACAAAAAAATAGTAGCTCGATAATATATACTATACATTAAGATATATTTTAACAAGAATTTAGAAAACCAAAAATCAATTCTAATGCTCGACAAATAAAATTTAGAGTGCGATTAAAACAGAACAATTCTTTTACCATCGCACTGTTCTTAATTCTATCGACATATTCTTGCCGGTTAATATCCCCATTTTTTGTCGTTATACCCACGAAGTGAATCAGTATAATTATTCGCAATGCATTTCCAAAATTGACTACAATATTAAAGATCCTGCAAAAGTCTTTTAACAAAAATTCCTCGTTTCTCAATTCATTTGGTCTACTGATGCATATAAATTAACTGATATATATTCTCAAATAAAAGACATATTTTTGATTGGTCAAATGCCTTGACAAACAGAAGATTACATCGAAGAAATGATATTCTTGTAAGATATATTTCTTGCTGTAATTAATTTTAGAAATGCATTGCGAGCGATTTAAGTGATTCATCATCGCAGCTATCAACGATATAAATAATATAAAATGTTTTTATATTGACATAATATTTTATATTATTTTGCCAAAAAGCATTCACGAAATTAATTACCTATATTCATGATATAATAACAACAATATTATAATTAGCGACCTAAACAATTCTTTGAATTAAAAACGGATATAGTACAATCGTATCCTCTCTCTCTCTCTCTCTCTCTCTCTCTCTCTCTCTCTCTCTGTCCCTTTTTGATACGAAATGCCATCAGCTTATATATCGAAAAAAGAAATGTTTTGTCTTATCTGTCGAGAATTTCACCTATATGTGATGTAGCAGGTCGAAGATAACGATTGATAAATATCAGGATGTGTCTCTACCAGCTGCTACAAATTTCAATATACTTATCGATCCTGTTCATACAAAGACTTAGTACTTCAGATTGATGTTACGCGTCTGGCTAGTTCTTCAGAAGTTGATTTACAGATCGACAAAATGACAGTCTCGTATACAAACTCTTGCACATAATATAAGACCAATCGCAATCGTGTGGGCACTTTAAACAGTATTAAGACACGTTCGTGCGCTCTCACTCCTGTGGCTCTATATGCACTGATAATGTAATATACATATATAATTGCATAATCGCACTCTTAAACTTCTTCCTCATGAAATCACTTTCGTGGGAAATTAAAACAATCAGAAATTAAAAGCCTCATTAATCATAGCTTATCATAAAGCGAAAATCATCATTTTGTTAATAATAAGGAAAAGAATTCGTAAACTAAATGATATTCAAGTGTGTGGCAGCTGTAACCTAGTATATAGTCTACAAACACACAAGTATTTAAAGGCTGAATCATCTTTTGAACGGCATATAAATTAAAATCGGCAGTAGAAGATAACGGAGATACATACGAACGTGCTTATCTGGCAGTGTGAACCACTACCGTTTTCCTCAAACAATTACACGTAACCGGGAGCTATGTATGGGGGAGTTGAACTATTTAGTTACGAATTGATCATTTAATTAACAGGGATCAAGGGAGTAAAACTACCTTACATGTCGCGCGCCGTTACATGAAACGCGTACGTTTGTGCGTGGGGGATCCCATATCCACGTCGTGCGAAGCAGGCCGTTTATGATTCCGAGCAAATTCGTTGCTAATAAAGGCCGACAGTTCAGCTTGTCGTCCGCTACGTCGAGACATCGGTGAACCTGGAAAGAAGATGGTAGCATTCTTCAGAATACGTTTTACAATGTAGATGTCGAATTAATGTCATTGTTATAATGAGTCAATTTTTAAGAACACAAATATATGGAAAATTTATACAAATTAAATTCGGCATTGAACATTATACCAGATATGGCCTCTCTAAACGTGTGCAACTCGGGATCTGGGTCGCTGCCTGGTGTTGGTGTTGGAGCGACGACCATACTCGGTGTTGGGCTCTGTGACGGTGGAGAGCCGCACACCATCATACGCGGCTTAGGTGAACTTCTGTAAGAGTAAATGCGTCGGATTATACGAAAAAACGATCGATTATTGATCTACTCGCTCGTAAAATAGTGTCGATTCATTGATATCTTTTAGATGAATTGCAGTAGAGACGAACCTATGCGAATGTGGTCGAGGTGGCGGTGGTCTGCCAGCCAAATATGCAAGAAGATCTTCTCTGCGTATCATACGTCGTTTTTTCCTCGCCCAATTCAGAATTTCTTTGCTGCGTTTTTGCTTTCCCATTTCTATTCCCAGATCACTACAACGCCTCATACTATCGATGGAATCTATTTTAAAATACTCAATTAATAAAATACATATACATATACATATATATATATATGCATATAATTATTTTTATAGATACAATGTACATATTTGCCAGTATCTAACAAGTATATGAATATGCAAATACACAACCCCTATAAAGCAATGTCTAAGTCAGAAAGAAATAATAAGATAATCAGTTAGATCCATATTCTGAACTCACTTTCCTCAATAAAAGTGAGTTCAGAATATGGATCTAAGGCAACAGACAAAGATTGTATTGCACAAATGCTTATAAAGATTTCAACAATTGCATGAGGTTACTTCACTGAAAATGTTTGCAAACAACACAAACTTTGGATTGACCAATGTAATCTGATAAAAGCTTTGTCACAATAATTGCCTCGAACTATTTTTGTGCCCAATGAGGTGATAAACTTTGACATTTACTATGCATGAAGTAACAGTCACATACAAACTATTCACAATCAAATACTAAAAGAGTTGTTTACTCAGCTCCACCATATAATCTTAACCCTTTGCACTCGAGGGCTCCGGAGCAGAGCCATTTAAAATTTGTCTTCAAACTCTTCAAACTCAAATGCAAATGGCAAGAACGGAATATCCTATACACAATAGTTTTTACGATCTGTCTTTGTCCTTATGTTATGAACTGAAAGTTATTTGCACTGTCTCCATAGCGGAGCCCTCGAGTTTGAAAACAAATTTTAAATGGCTCCGCTCCGGAGCCCTCGAGTGCAAAGGGTTAATTATGATCTAATGTACCTAATAACATTCATTGTGCAAGGCTTAACTGTCGCAAACAAAATATATTTATATAAATCCATTTGTAGGCAAACGACGAAAATAAAGCACATTTACTTTGTGAATAGTTTGTATGTGACTGTTACTTCATGCATAGTAAATGTGCTTTATAACATATAATTCCTGTGTAAAATGTTGCGTCATAATCAATATAACAGCAGGCCTCAATTCTTTATCATGACTTTCTATCTCCTTCACAGCTTGCTAATCATGTTCCTGCTGCAATCAGCGTATTCAATAACGCCTGATCCTGAGCATCAGCTGCTACAAGAATTTATGTGCAATCGTCGAACACACGCAACTGTGGTATGCGTCAATGCACCGAATGTTCCTGCATGACACTCTGATTTCATGGACGATAGAAAGCAAAGGAGAACAAGCAGGCAAAGATAAGCAGAGAAGGAAGGCGATAAGATAAAGAAAGAGGGTAAAAAGTGGATGGATGGTTATCTAGTTGACGTTTTCGACAACGACAATAAAGAAACAGAGTATGTACCTTTGTACAATGACGTGACAGTACCAGCAGCAGTCTGAAACGGTACCCACAAAGATACACCCAGCGTTCGATCTGCAAAAGAGAAAAACACGAATTAGACCGATCGAAACGGGTCGATGTATCCAAAGAGCATAGCGGGTTTTCCAAATGCGACTGCTCGAGAAAGAGAGAGAGAGAGAGACAAAGATCGCGAGTTACGAGATGCGTGTTACGACGCGGATCGTTCTCGTAACGTCGCACAAGATGGATGTCAACGCGAGATGGTTACTAACGTTACAGCACGACCATGGTATGGCCACCGCTGTGCGTTCGCGAGCACTCCCGTGTGCCCGAAAAAAGAGAGCAAAGGGCAAATCGCGACGGTATCCTTAGGAACGTAGACTCGCCTTTGTACAGCTGGGCGATGGCCGACGCTGTGGTCTGGAAGCTCGCCCACATCTGCTGCGAATAGACTTCCTTCTCATTGTGCAGCTGGCCCTCGTAATCCGGTTCGGCCTCGACCGATTCGACACATTGCTGTTCCCAACTACTGTACCAGAAGTCCATTATCGGATCGTCCTCACTCCGGTCGTCGGTCATCGTTGGCGATCGTGCGATCGACGCACCACCGTTCACTCCGCTCTAGCGCACTCTTACCACCGCAAACACACACACACACGCGCGCGTGCTCCGACGACACCGAACTCACACTACTTCTCTTCTTCTCGCGCACGCACGCACACACACACATGCGCGCGCGCGCACGTGTGGAATTCTGTCCGTGTGCGGTAACCGTAAGCGCGCACACGCCTCGCCCACCCGAATGCTCGATGACACACGCGTGACACGCGCACGTACACACGCAAGCGTGCCCGGTCGGCACGCCCGCAGATGAATTCCGCAGCGTCCGAACGGGCGAGCGAGCGAATACCAAAAGCGCTGAAAACAACGGCGATGGGGACAACGAGACCGTCCGGCTGGATAATGAAACTGCTGTCAACTCGCGCTTCTGCTCCGCACTGCTTCTCGTAACGCGACGAACGCCGCAAGGCCACCGCCTGCGAATCAAGTCGCGGCCATATCAATTACGCCACTGTGGAGATAGAGAATCGTCTTCTATCAGTACATTCAGCACGCACGAAGAGCGAAATGGAAGATCGTTGCGAAGATCAAGGCAGAATACGTATGTCACTCAGGCTGACCAATGCACGGGCCGAGCACGGCTCAACCGCGCCATCTACAAATGCACGTGCGACATCGTCCGCAGAGAAATTACGGCTGCTTTCCAGCGAGGAAAGAGTGTTAAGGCTCCTGGATAGTCGCTGCGACTGTTCTTGTTTGATGACGTCAGAAGCGAGGAAGCTCATGTCAAGAATTCTTATACGTTCAAAATTTGACCAATCAGAGCAAAATTCACTACACTTTTAGTGAGTTTAGTGAACTTTACCTTGATTGGTTATATTTCACTTGTATTCGCTATTGGCTGCACAAAATTAAAAGTTCTGCACTATTACCACACAAACGTTAATGTTAAGGCAAAGGCGATTGATTTTATTCGAAAAACGAACAAAAATTTTATAATCTACTAATTTTTTCGTTTTTCGAATGAAATCAATTGTCCTCACCTACATTAACGTGTGTATTCTAATTGTGCAAAAAGAATTTTAATTCTGTGCAGTTAGTATTAAAAATTGACGGTAAATCAGGACGACTCCAAGATCTTAAGAGCTCAAGGATCCTAAATTTCTCAGGACAAAATGAAAACTGTAGTGCTGATGAGGAGGGAAACGGAGATGGAATAATTCCCAAATTCAGATTCTAAACCTTGTATAGGAACTATTTCTAATTTTTTCATTATTTTGGTACATACCAGATTACTCAATTTAGTAGGACAAAGAGGATTACAGCAACAGTAACAAGTTAGTTCCTCATCAACATTTTCCTTAAATTTTTTTGTTAATAACTTTTTAATAACGACCGCCAACCTTTTTAGAGTTACTCAGAACCTACTTTGATCTATGTAAATGACATATGTAACATATTACATTGTATAGAGATCAAAAGATTGGGGCTGGTACTCACAATCTGAGTTTACCTTAAACTATTTTATTTTACCTTAAATTATATACCAAGATTAATGATCTATTATAATCAATTCATCAATGCCCCAATCTTCATAGCTGTTGTCAGGTAGATAGCGACGTATAACTATGGGAATTTTCCTCTGCTTCAATTCTTTCATGGCAATTTGTAACGGATCTGTTTCTCCCTCTAATTCTACCATTACAGGCGCGCACATGGCTATCTGCAGCGCTCTTGTTCCTAACACCCTGGCTCTTTCATACCTGTGGAATAAATTATACGATGTACCTCTAATACAATTTGTATCCTTACATTACACTTGAACTATGTGCACATACTTTGTCATGTATCTTGTAGTTATTCTCGTTGATCTTTCTACACCACCGGAAGCTTCGTTAGGATTCAGTAGTTCAATATTCTCACCCTCATCCTCCTGAGGTTCTAACTCAATGTTGTCCTCGTCGTCTACATCATCAAAATCATCTGCGACGCTACAAATAATGGTGAATTACATCGAGAAATTACAAATCTTCATATTCTTGATGTTCTTTATTACTTTTCGTTAAAAAGTAGAAAGAATAAAATATAAATCAAACTTTACTTTGTGAGTTCATTCGATTTTACAATTAACCCTAGAGCTCGTTTGTTTCATTTTCTGGTTAACTCGTGGTTTAAACTTAACCTGATGATAGTGTAAACATTGTTTTTCTACTCATGATTAATCATTGAACTTGAAAATTTTTATAGAATCGTCAGTTTAATGATTAACCATAAATAGAAAAACATAACTTCTGCATTATCATCAGACCATGTCTAAACCGCAAGATAAAAATGAAAAACTGGGTCTAAGAGTAAATATAGCGGCAAACTTTTATCGGCGTACCGAACACGCCATATTACTTACTCATCCCCATCAAAGTCTTCATCAGCCATTATTATTTATTAAAGAAAAGCCTGGAACAGTCCGACAGCAGCCACACTAGCGTCTTATTTAATACACTACGATGCACGAAACACGAGTACGAATAAATATTTTGTTCGGCAATATTGTTCAATTTATGCTTCACAGATAGCGCCACTGTCAATTATCGCATTTTTGCGCATGCGCCTATGTTGCTATGTGTCTAAGCTGACGAGACTGAAAGCGTCTTTTCCAGTTTTAAGGTTATGGTCGTAGCGTGTACCGTGTAAGTCACATAAATAAATGTTCATGTAGCCGTCAAGTACAATACATATCCTTGCCATTTTATTGAGTTATTTTTGTAAAGACATCACGGTGAGTTTTGGTGAATATGTTGGTACATAGAATAAGCACATTGAGAATATATTTTCACTATATTATTGTATGTATTATTGGTATGTCATCATATATGTATTGTCGTTGAAACAATATAAGTCTCACAGTAACAGACAATATCTCACGATACTTAATGAGCACAAATATGCACGATACTTAATGAGCAAAAATTATTTTTAAAGATACCCCAAAGTTTCTCAAGATGTCTGGAGGTATGCTTTATGGTGGAGATGAAATAGGAGCGTTAGTCTTCGACTTGGGCCATCATTCTTTAAGAGTGGGCTATGCTCAAGAAGATACTCCAAAGGCAGAGATTCCAGCTGTTGTGGGTATAGGAGAAGATGGCAACAGCACAGCTAATAAAGCTGAACCTATGGATATTGATGATAAGAAACCTGATAGCAATATCACTCAAAGCGGGACCAAATATTATATCGATACCACAATTCTTCATGTTCCACGAAGAAACATGGAAATTGCAAGTTATATGAAAGATGGCATGATTGAAGATTGGGATCATTTTGAAAAGGTAACAAATGAGTAACAACTCGTGTGATTTAAGCATATCAAATGTTCCATATGAACTGAATATACACGTATTTGTTAGGTCTTAGATTATACATACTCAAAAGTAATCCAATCTGATGCTGAATATCATCCTGTATTGTTTTCTGAATCGCCTTGGAATATACGGAGCAAAAGGGAAAAATTGACCGAATTAATGTTCGAAAAATACAATGTACCAGCCTTTTTTATTGTGAAAAATGCAGTTTTGGCCGCATTTGCGAATGGCAGATCCACTGGTATAGTTGTTGACAGTGGTGCTACACATACATCTGCAGTACCTGTGCAAGATGGATTCGTATTGACGCAAGCTATCGTTAAATCTCCTCTTGGTGGAGATTATATAAGCATGCAATGCAGACAGTTTTTACAAGTATGTCCTCATATGAAGTGTGGATATTTATCTATGTTCATTAAAATATTTCTAAAACTTATTTCGAATAATTGCAGGATAACGATATCGATTTATCACCTCCTTACATGGTGGGTAGTAAAGAAGTAGTTAAAGATCATGATAAACCACGGTGGGTTAAGAAGAAAGGAATACCGGATGTTACCAAATCTTGGCATAATTACATGGTGAAGAAAGTAATTCAAGATTTCCAAGCCACGGTTCTTCAAGTATCAGAAACACCGTACGATGAGAAAATAGTCTCCACAATTCCAGCGGTCCAATATGAGTTTCCAACTGGTTATCACCAGGTATATACTTGGAGTAAATGCCTCTATATAGTTTCATAAAGTTCTTAGATTCAGAATGAGATAACTAAGGAAAGTATATACTTGAAGGATTTTGGAAGCGAAAGATTCCGAATACCAGAAGCGTTATTCGATCCTAGTATGGTACAAATGCGCGGTGGTATGGTTGGTAATACCATGTTAGGTGTGGGTCACATTGTCGCAACCAGTGTTGGCATGTGCGACGTTGACATGCGACCGTCGCTCTATGCGAGCGTCGTCGTTACCGGTGGCAATTCCTTTATTCAGGTATAGTTTTAACGCTCGAATAAAATATTCGAAAATTCTTTTCGCCCCTGTTCTGTGCTAACAGAATATTTTGTATTTGCAGGGCTTCCCGGAACGCTTAAACAGAGACCTGTCCGTGAGAATACCTACCAGTATGCGTCTTAAATTGATCAGTGCGAACGGTTGCGCGGAAAGAAGATTCGGAGCGTGGATAGGTGGTTCCATATTGGCGTCGATCGGCACTTTCCAACAAATGTGGATTTCCAGCCAAGAATATGAGGAGAGCGGGAAGAGTCAAGTAGAGAGAAAATGTCCTTAAATCGCGATAGTTCACTATATATATATATATATATATTTCTATCCTCGAGTCATATTAGCGTCAGTGTTTGTACAAATGTCGCACACGGAATGAGTACAATTTTTGGAATACAAAAATCCACGTTTTACGATATTGTGCACCATTTCATACATATTGCAATGTACAAGGCACATGATGATACTATGAATCACTTTTTAAAATGAAACGACTTTTTATAACGTTGTATAATGAACGAAGACACTTATGATGTTATGGAATTATATGCTCGTTCTAGACACGTACGGATAATTACATTCTATTTATAAGCGACATTAAATATATATATATATATATATATATATATATATATAATAATTAGCTAATTATATTGCTCGAAGTTATACCTCGAGTAAATGAAATGACAAGATTGATCCTCGTTTATCTTCAACGCGTCGTACCATAAAATACATGCAAATCTTGTATATTGTAATGAGATCTTTTTATAAACTTACCGCGGCAGGCTGTGTCCTGAGAGTAAATCTCTAAGCCCGTTGTTTTTCTTTTCGTTACACTCATCTTGCTCTTTCACAATACCCTGTCGGTTTCACTGCCAGTGGTGTTGTGCATCGTATTCTATGGAACCATTTGTCCGCAACCCTACTACCGCGTAGCAAGCGTCCCATAAGAATGGAATAGAAGGAAATTTATCTGCAAGGTATAATTTTCCATCTATGGTGCATATCTCTCTTTCGACTGCGTCGAAGTAATAAATAAATAAAATATGAAAGTACAAAGAAGACACGCTCACTTGTCTCTTTAATTGCTTCAATTAGTACTTTGTCGATAACACAGCGCGTTGTTTGTCAAACTGCATAAGTAAAAAGTCGGAAGAAAAGATCTTAGAATACAACCTGTCATTACGTCTCCTTTATAATGAAAGACGTTGATCTGACAAATGAGCTATCATTAAGCTTGAAATATTAATGAACGAGGACTGCTATACAGCTTCGCTATACCTCGTACTTTAACGCCTCTTGACACGATCTCTAATACAGTAATGGACTTACTAATTGGTATCTGTATGAATGAACAATTAATTGAGAAAACTCGATTAAAAATACGTACGATGTACAGGCTACTAAAGATCATTAGTACGTTTCAAATCGTCGGAAAATTTATAATATTTGTCGACGAAACTTTCTCTATTATTGCGTTTCTATCAATGTTAACTGGTATAAATTCGGTATAAAGTTCGCGGATGTTCCCCTCTTTCGAAACTTAGCTTGTCATTATGCATCCCCTCGATGAAAATCAGATAGATATCGATGACTACGTGCTTATTAACAGAAAGGTCTTAAAATTTGTCGGCCTTTATCCAACGAACGTTGCGAGATACATCGTGTGTTGTGTATGCATGTTTTCCATTATTATACCGCAAACGATACAAATTTATCAAGATTGGCAAGACTTGGCTATCGTATTGGAAACAAGGTACACCTAATTATATAGGGTGAGTCACACTTAACTTTAGAAGCTTAAATATATAAAAAATAAAGTAAAATAGAATAAGACGTTCCGAAAAATTCTAAGGTTTGGAAGGAAGTATTGGTAATGTTAACTTCGTTGTATAATCAATAATTCAAGATTATTTCAAGGTCAACTTCATTTTTTTAAGTGGAATCATATGTTTTTTTTAACACAAAACAAACTTTCTGTTCATCCTGTGTATAAAAATACCAGGATAAGATCATCAAAAAATGAATATTTTTCGAAATATTTTATTTTTTATTCTGATATTTTTCAGTAAGATATGAAATATTTCATAAAACATTCACTTTTCGACGATATCACCTTAATAATTTTCTATATAATAATATGAGAAAAATGGATTACTGATATTTATCATTGCACATTGATGCATTTGCAAAATGCAATTAATTTTTTCGAAGATTTTTCTATATTTGTTTACAGCGATTGATTCCACTTGCCATTCTATGTTCAAAAGTATTAAAGTAATGTTATCAAAAAGTGAATATTTTATTAGATATTTTATATATTACACTGAAAAATATCAGAATAAAAAGTAAAACATTCTTCGTAAAATAACCTTGAACTGTTGACTATATAACGAAGTTAAGGTCACCAACTTATGTTTTCTCCCAAATCCTACAACTTTTGCTCGGGACACTTCTTTCGGAACATTTGCTTTATTTTTTATATATTTAGGCTTTTAAAGTTAAGGGGAAGACCATTATAAAGGATCAAAAATATCAATTTTTTTTAATTTCAAAAAATAATGTGCGTTTTTAAGTTTATTTTGCTGCAAAGCTCACAATGGTCTTTCCCCTTGAACGAGTCACTTTGTATATTAAAAAAAAAAACTTTTTACATTTGTGTTAACTTGTTTTGCTTCGTAGTTCAGTGTTGTTGACTATTTTACTTGCCGTACTAAAGTCGTTAGTTTGGATGAACAACAGAAGGAAAATGGATCCATTTATAAATTACATTCTGACAGATTATTGGAGAATAATGACGGCACAGATCTCGAGATACGCGGATGTATATGCAACGTAAATAAACATTTCTCTAATTACAAACATATGTACTGCAGGTGCGTATAGTAACGCATGCTATTACATAGTAACGCTTGTTTACAGATATGCCAGAAAGCTTACTAAAGGATATGTATTTTTAATTTGTAACTCTTTACTATTTTTCTTCAGTCTACCTCTAATAGAAATACTTATCACTATGATCACTGGATCTAACGATAACAGTACAAAGCATTTTCCATTCTTAGCTTTATATCCTAAATCTTACTATAATTTTCCCATGTATGAGGTAAGGACAACATCATTTCCGCTTGTTGAAACTATTCAGGACGATAACGTTTATATAAATTTCGCTTACGTAGCTCGTATATCTCTCGCAAATGGTAGCGACGAGCTTATGCGGCCTTGTTATCCTGGGAACCGACACCCTAATTGCAACAGCATTGTTTCACACATGTGGTCACTTCAAAATACTTCAAGAAAAGATTCAAAATATTAACACTAAAATTGGCTTCGTTAGTACGGTTGCTTTATAATTTCTCATTATCATCTCGTTGCAATTATTATAAATCAACATATTTACGGCTGTTGTCACACCCTCGTGTACATATAATACATGACAGATTTTTGTTTTATTCTATCCAGGTACCACACGTACACAATGGAGAAAATTCTGTGCAGAAAGTCAAGTTACAAATAATACATATCATTAAGCATCATTATACAGTTCTTCGGTAATTTTAAATAAATAAAGAAATTTCGGCTGTATTTATGATTATGAATATAACGATGTTACATTTAGGTTTTGTGATTATATGGAAATGGTTTTCAGTCCAATGTTATTCCTACAAACGTTGGCCAGCAGTCTTATAATCTGTCTAGTAGGTCTTCAAGTTACAACTGCAAGTATAACAACAACATTTCCTTTCGCATGCCGAAAATTCGTCACTATATTGACAACTTTATCTTTACATAGAATTTTGTTAGCAGGAATCGGCAGAAAAATCTAAACTGATTAAATACTTCTCATATTTAATAATGGCACTTTTCCAATTGTTACTGTTTTGTATTCCCGGTGATATTTTAATCAATGAGGTATGTAGCAAAATTAATACAAAATGAAAACAAACTCAATACATATTTTATCTACGCCATAGAGTTCCGCTATCGGTAAAACTCTGTATTCAATCAGCTGGTATGAATTGCCGGTTTCCTTTAAGAACGAGATATGTTTGCTCATGTTGCGTAGTCAGAAACCAAGTAAAATTACTGCAGGAAAATTCTACGTTATGCATCTGGAGAATTTCAATTCAGTAAGAATGTCGTACATACATACACCTAGTTTACTGTGAAACTGTGAGTGCAAAATTGTATGTATAAAAATATTCTAACTTTAATTTACAGGTATTGAGCACTGCTGTCTCATATTTCATGTTGCTTCGAAGTGTCAGTTCGGAAGAGGACTAAAATACCGAGTTATAATTAAATAAAACCATAATTGTGGACAAGAGATCTAATATTAAAAGAAGAGAAATTAAAATATAATAACAATTAAAAAGTTGATGTATGGGAACTCCAACAATTTCACGTTTGGTACGCCGTTGCGCGCAATGTCCGTCGGGAATCTCGCCCTATGTATAATTCCGCCTGTGATACTCGTGATTACAAATATGCACCCCAGCCAAAATACATCTGGCAGAGATTATCTATATTCGTCGCTTCCAAAATCAAGTGATTGGTTTGGCCCTCGACGCTGAGATGTAGCGCGATATTTTCAACCTTTCTTTCGGGATACCGAATCAAGCCTTTCAATCGTTGCTTGATGTTTTTGATATTTTCTACGGCCTGCGACATGGAAATCAATGTGAATAACCCCTTGCGACTTGAGAGATGTATAGAATATAGAATGCGTGCGTTTGTAATACTTTTTCGTTCGTCTTCTCAGCCGCATCGCCGGCCTGATTTTTGTTCCAACTAACGAGCGGATCATATACGAAAGGCGTGAGTACGCTCAGCAATGTGCTCGATTGTTGTCGAAGTACTCGCATGGTAATTTGACAGGCGCGTCTGAATGGTCCCTCGATTTTCAAAGGACCCATAGCATCCACCATATTATGGGTCAAACGAAATGGCACACGTTCTGGCCAATCAAACAGTTCACCCTGAAAATTACAATGCACTGTGTTTCATGTAGCAAAGCGATCAAATTCCTAGCGTACGGTCGACGTCAGGTATGTAACATTCCTAACGCATAAAGTTGAAAATCACAGAAGTAACTAGAAGTTATAACGGCTCTAATTATGATAGTTTCAACCTTATGTGTACAAAGGCTAAAAATTGTGTAACAGTAAAAAGTTTCCATCGAAGGAACGATACAATATACATGACGCCGACTGTATGCGTACATCCATTTACCCTATTGAACAAGCAATTGAAATCAACGTGCACGCAATCTCCGCATTTAGAATCGAACAATATATTCTCCCCATGACGATCGCCAAGTCCGAGTATGTAACCCACCATGGACATGACAGCGGTGGTCCTGATATACGCTGTACGAGCTTCGTACCTTTCTCAATAATCAAGTAATTAGCACTTATACGCAATCATGCAAAAGGATTATACACCAGAAATGAAAGATTAACGGATCCCCTTTGGAAATAAAGATATGCTTTATGCTTCGTAATAAAGCATTCAACACAATGTATTTCATTAACACGTACCACCCGTATGGATCAGGAAACATGATGCGAAACCATTCTCCAAACACAGCTGGATGTCGTGGCAATAACTTCTTCAGAAATGTTTGCCTCTTCTTCTCTAGTGAATCTCCTTTTTCTGTTTAATTAGGATTCAGACACGATGAAAGGAATAAGGGACAAAGTTGTGCCTTGAAATGTTCCTCATTACCGTGCTACGCACGCAGTAACTTACCGCACAGCATCATTTTAAGTTCTTTATTCATGAGCATAATGCCTTTTTCTTTGTAGAGACTCAGAATGGTAGGTCGGAAACCGACTAGGTTCGGCACCCACTCTATCAAACCGCACTCTTCGTTTAACGGCACCACGCTCTGCAAATCGAGGATAACCGATGATTCGTTGAAATCTCGAGCTGGAATATAATACGCATGTTGTTGACGCGCGTCTTACATATGTCCTTATATAGAGCCTCCTCTGACGTGACTCGGGATCATTCTGAAGGTACTTGTTCACGATGTCGTTAAATTCCATCAGTCTGAAGTCCTTTCGCAAATCGTCCTTCGGCTTACACATGAAAAGATACCTCCTGCCGTCCGATCCTCTCAGCGTGATTCGTCGTGGCCGTTGAAGCGACGGCATTATCATCACGCTGTCATCTATCCCCGATATATGCACCCATTTCCGCAGAAACGGATTGTGATTACTCAGCGAGGCATTCTTGGATGGAAGATGCAGCTGCATGAACTTCGTCGTCGGTATCATAATCTGACTGAAATCCTTATTCGTGAGTAACATCGGCAGATACTTCGACAGCTGATTCACCGTGGCGCTCGACGCGTTCTCCGATATCGCCTTATTGGATAGCTCGATCAGTCTTTCCCAAAGCCTGTGAAAATCTTGAATAAGCTTGGACATTTCCTGCGTTTTCAACTGCCGATTATTTAAGATCTCTCGGCAACGCTTTTGTCGCGCCGAATACGAGGAATTGAAGACCGACGCCATCATCCACAAGCAGTACTGCGGATACGCCAGAATCAAGTTCACCAGAATCGTGCGGAGAGTATTCTGCACCTGCGGGGACGGGTGACAAATTCGGGACACGAGTTGATTGAACGCTGTCAGCCACATAAACATCGGCAGTTTCTGATGGTAGGCGTCCATGAGTTTCGTCATCTTCGCCAGGCAATCTTGACGGGATCGAGCGATATCTGCCGGATCGGAGGCGATCGCGGCACGAGAGGCGAAGTCCAACCAAATGGTTAGCATCTTCGGCATCGAGTGGTGGATGTACTTGCAGCTGTACTGAAGCGACTTGCCGTAACAGTTCATCATATGCACTTGCAGGTCGCGTCTACTCTTGTCCCTGTCGTTCTCCGGCATCCTCTCGACGACGCCCTCGTAATATTGAGCGCAGGACAACCAGCTCTTCTCCCATCCTCTCCACACATCTATCGCTTCCTTGTAGTTGAAGATACAGCCGTCCGTGTCGATGTTGAGAGTCTCGTCGTTGTATTTCGCGAACAGCAGCTTCGCCTTTGCGAACTGCTTCCGCTCTTCCATACACTCCCCGGAAGGTAACTGCTTGTAATACTGCACCGGCTTGAAGCAATTAGCGAAGCAACGATTCAGCGTGGTAAACGCGTCCTCTTGACAACCCTTTTGCCAGTACAACTGAGCCTGTTCTATGTACAATGGTTGCGGCGGACACGAATCACTGGCCGACAGGATGTGCATGTACGCTTGTTGGTGCAAGCCGGCTTTCCGGGCTATTTTCGCGCTCTTCAGCCAAATTTTGCCGATTTCCTGCTTGAGCGTCGAGTTCTCCGTGTTGAGAGTCTTCCGTTGCAACTGCACAGCCAGATCTAAGGTGGCTCGTCGCATACTCAAAACGAACTCCACGCCACGGGACGTTCTCAATAATTGCCCGCGTTTCTCCCATTCTTCCAGTATCACCGGAAGATCCTCCACGTTATTCAGCATCATCGAGACCGCCTTGTCAAATTCGTTCAATATGTGTAATTTCATAATGTATGAGTAACTCTGCTGGTAGACTCCCGGTTGAGAGGCGTCCTCCAACAACAACACCAGGTTCTTCTTCAGCGACAGCAAGTCCGGCTTGGTACCTTTTATGAGATCGTCCAGTAACACGTGCTTTACATTTTTCTGCGAAGTCTCTTCGAACCGGGAGAAGTGAGCGAGCCTCCAGAACAGCTCACGTTCGGTTATGAGAGGCTCCAACTCTGGCCTGAGATATCGGGTAAACGTAAGAGCTTCAAGAAGATTCAACTGTCCGCGCATTTATCGATGCAAAAGTTCTTCCCGCTTTTTCATCCAAATGTACACATTGATTTATTTTCAAGTATAATCGATTAAACGGGTATAGTGTTACCTGCTGCTCAATACGCCCTCAGTAATGTGCTCGGCGGTGAACGGTTGGTCCAGACCAAGGTAACATTGAATCATACCTTGCAGATACGTGTGCTTCAAGTCTTTCTTCTGCGCCAGTCGCTCGTAGCACGTGGCCGCGTCCTGCGTGAACGAATACAAAAAGACCACAAGAGCATGCAATTACGAAGTAAAATGAATAACTTCTAAGTAGAAATCGCTCGAATCCTCCAACACTACCTGAAGCTGCCCGTTGACTTCGTGAGCTAGAACCAGCTGTTGCAAAGTGGGAGCTTGATTCTGAGTTGCCAAAATACCAGATACTCCATCGGGCTCGTCGAGCTGTGCATAAATTTTCTGTAACGGGAATATCTTATTAGAAAAGCGAAAGAACAAGTACATGACATCGCGCTAAATCGCAAAACAACGTTACACACAGCGAGTAAACCGCCTTCCGTCGGTTCTGATAAACCTTTATTGCTGGAGGCCATATGCTGCTCCAAATACATTAATGCCCGATGATATTCCCGCGACTGGTAACAGCCTTCTGCCACCATCAGACTGTCTAACGTGCTGCAAAACTCTAGAAATATTAACGGAATAATCGGTCATATCATGTGGCCACATTCTGCGCAAGAATTCAAATAATATATACTAAAGTAGCTCGCACTTTTTATTGCCTCATATCTGTCGTCTTGAAACAATCTCCGTTCTCTGAGCCATCTTTGCAAATGATCCAGTATATGAAAAACTACCTATTCAACAAACAAAAAAAAAACAAGAATATTTAACATAAACAGAATATCAAGTTAGCGTGGAAAATTATTCGAAAATAAAAAAAAGAACTGTACTAACTCGCGAGCAGCGTGTACGTCTGGTTTCCTCTGAGATTCTCTTGTCATCGGCTTTCACACTCTGGCCGTATCGAAGTGGTTGATGACGCAGAAGTTCAGGGTCCAATTCAGGTTTCTTCTTGACGTTAATCACGGCTAACATCTCCTCTTTAAGTTTAACACATTCCTCTTCATTGTCGCTCGCAATTATATAAGCTAACGGATAGAAATATCTTGTAAGTACAGTTTTTTGTCTGTATTCGGAATAAAAATAAGTGTCCCCGAATGATTTTCGTTTGTTGAACATGAATCTGTCGTCCAAATTTGGCTATTGAATCACAATTTTGAGAGAAAGAGGCAAAAAAACAACGTTAACTTTAAGGATTTTCATGACGTTGTAGCACTCGCAACAAATTTTTTCCTAAACTTCGTTAAAAACACGCAAAAGTATCAACTTTTAGCTTTAGGAGCACCTATTCTCATTGCAGATACAGAAATCTTGTTGTGACCAGTATAATAATAATTTACTTATATCGAGCTTTCAGCACTTACACACAATGTATGGTAAACAGAATGTCAGCGTTTTTATGTCTCGCTTGAACGCCAACTTGCACGCTTGCAGTATGTTATTGAGAGTTTTGTCGCGTACAGCATTGGACATACTGCAAAGCCAATAATAAGCCCAACTTTCGACCGAGGAACCTGCTTCAGAACTATGAGAATATTTGCATCAGTTATCGATCGTGCTAAAACGACAATCATGGGAAATTCGACAAATTTGAGAGCGATACGAATTGATTTCTTACGAAACTCACCCGTAAATGGGATGAGGAAACTCATTATCGTCGGTAATAGTTTCTTCCTTCCTTTTGTAGTGAGACGTCAAGAAAGGGGCGATGATCTGTTGCGTTGTGCACGACAAATTATTCCACAATTCGCTGTTCCGGCCTTGCGGAGAGATGTCGTACGTTTTTAATATCTCCTGAAAATGTCGATCACGTTAGAACAATGCTACAGTTTCTTCGCAATTGCTTATGCACAATAATTGTGCTCTCATACCTGGATAGCGAGTGAAAAGCAATCCATACTTTGGCTGTTCTTCTGCATTTGAAAAGCCCGCACATGTTCAGAGAGCAACGCACAAGCGAACTCTTCGTTCGTGTCAGATATAAATTTACTATCTTCTGTAATGCAACGAAATTTTCAAACGATTTTATCTGCGAGTCTGCGAGTACATATCGTCGCATTGATAATAAAAACATGAAATCAAGCACCTTTCGAAATAATTCTTCGCGGAAGAAGACTCGGCTCGATCGCTCCTAATTCCCCGAGACATTCTCCGTAACACAAACGGATAGATTCGTCTTTATCCTGACATCCAATCAACAGAGTATCTAATAGCTTTAAAAAAACAGCGAAAATGTTGTAAAATGCGTATTACAGCAAGCGAGGTGTTCACAGTACTCGTCTGTTGAGCATACATACTTCCACAATTAGCGGATGGACGTCGGTTTCACTCAGTATCATTCGATTAAGCTCACTGCGGTGTTCTTCCAGAAACGTTTGTAAATGTTTCAGGGCCCTGATTCGCACTTCGTCGGTCTCATGAGTGATCCGCTTTAGCCATAACTCTAAATTGGCATTAAATCCCTCGGGTCTGAGATTGCAGAGAATCATTCCAATATTACGAACGTATAATAATAATAATTGAATTGCTATTCCAAGGGTCAAAATTGGCCTATTTTATTGATCGTTTTTTATATCACCGATTACCTCGCTTGCAATATGTGTGCCTTGACTATGTCGGATATGCGAGTGGGAACTTCCATGTCGTCTATGAAAAATAACTCTGAGATGTGATTGTTCTCTTCTCCGACACTTTGAACGATCAGAAACTCTAACATATTATTGACATTTTCAGGAAATATTTTCTGCAACGGCATTAACGATACGCATATTGTCGGAAACAGCGGCCCCAAATCTTCTATGGCTATGCTGGAAATAGTTTCCGTAAAAACTGCTATTTTAATACAAAACCTTCTTCCTAATATTAGACGACGTATTAGCTAAGTATTTCTTTGACATACTTGTGAATAAACGCATCCCATGCATCACAGACTAAGCGAGGAAAGCCGGGCCTTTTAAATCCAAGCGAAGTTCGTAGTGTGGCCAGGATTTTATATCTAAGCGGCGTCAAATAGGTAGCACCCATATATTGAATTAAAGTAGCTAGTGAAGCAAGCGCAGATTGTTGCGTGTGTTCATCTGATTTGGGACTAAGTTTTATATCGAAATTCACCAATATGCCGTGTAAGCGTAGATTCAAATAAGAGGCCTGTGTGCGTATTACAAAATGTCTGAAATTGTCCTGCATTAAATAATCACAGTATTATTATTAAAATACTTACAACTTGCTCTTTCGTAGTAAAGTTTCCTCTGTGATTACTGTCATATTCTGAAATGATTTCTAAGAAGCCTATTATCTTCTTAGGGGACTCATAGAAATTTAACATAAGTTCTTCAAAAATTTCCTGCAAGTGATGAGATACACATATATTTCTCAGAGTATAACGAAAATTCAAGTCGACGACATCAAAGATATTTCAAATTTTTTACCATAAATGATCGCTTTGTAAGAAGTGCGAGGCTATTTTCAGTGATCTTTGTGACAAGTTTCAAGCACTCTGTAGATACGCGTAGAGATGTTTCCAAGAACGCGTAACTGCAAATGTACTAAAACAAGAAACGCGTGAATTAACTGACTGAATATTAAAACAATTAAATTAGGTAAATTAAGTAGACTTCGTGTACCGGAAAATGTTCTTCAAGCATTTTCTTTACGTCCATATTTATCAATTCGGCGATATCGTGTAAAAGTGGCTTTGCTGTTGGCATTTCAACAATAAAGGCAATCAGAAAGCAAATCGCGTAATGGCCATCTTTGTGTAGCAAATGACGCGATCCTTCGTAGCCTATACATTTAGCGAGGCGGTGCACTGTGGTTGCCATATTATAAGAGAATTCTATGTAATTACAAACTGCACGTTCCATTATAAGCTGCAACAATATATATTGATTAATGTAAAAGCGTGATGATACAAGCTACGAAATATGAATACCTTCAAAAAATCCTTTCGATATCGGATGTACAAGGCCTTCGGAGAAACATTCAGAAAGTCAGCAACATCCCGATACGCGACTGTGGCGGATGCAACGGCTGCAGGCGACGAGTTGGGATGTAGTATTGTGAAAAGAAACACGTTTAAAATTCTTCTTTCTGTCAAGTGTAGTGGAACACTGTAATCATATTGTTGTATATTAATACCAAAGACAATTTAATATCATTATTCCAATTTTATCGTTAATTCTTGACTATAGCTTGACCGGCAAACTGAATTTCGCAAAAGTGAAAAGCTTAAGCTAGCAAAAAACTGATTTTCTAAAGTTAAGCAATGTGTCATTAAAATGTTGTGTCTAGGAGTTTTTCAGATCACTGTTTATAAATAGGAAGTTACAATTTTTCGGTCAAAATATGTCGACTAAAATCATAATTTTTTTTTATCCAAATAAAACTGGACATTTGTAACTTCTCTATGGATCTAATATATAGATATCGCTTTATTTTGGTTATTTATTGGTTTGAGGAATCGCCATTTCGAATTTTTATTTTTAAAATTCACCGTTGAAAAGAACGACCTCAAAAACTCTAAAATACAACACTTTAATATTTTTGTAAAACTTTCGCATTTTTTTCAATTTTAGATCACGTTACCGTATCCGCTTTCTTGTGAATTTTAAAGTTTATCATTGAATTGAGCGATCCCAAAAATCTTTGAATGCTTAATTTTGGAAATATCAGAATGCAGTATTACGTTTCCGAAGTCAAGGGGTTAATTAATATTCCCTCCATCTTACCATACAAAATTCTTCGCAGTGACAAGTAGTGTATCGTGCAGGGAATGATTGGAAGTATCTACGGCAGTCATGAGAGTGTTGGCTATAACTTCAATTACTAAATCAACGAATTCGTCCAAGTCATCCGGCACTGTGTCCGGCAAACGTTCGACGTTTTTCAACATAGAAATTTTATTGCTCAGTAATTGCCCGATCACCGACGCAATATTTGATCGGATCTCCATATCATCATCGTATATGTAAGGGAGCCATTTCCTCGCCACATCGTTCGAGTTAAACGACTTTACGTGGTTTGAGAAGGACGGGATGCTTTTGGAAATATTTAAACGTATCGACACATTCGTTGAAGACAGTAGTATAAAGTACGTAGTAAAAATTTTATCATAGGTTCTTGGAAGACGGATCATCATAGACTCGACGTTTTTACTCGTATTCTCTGTACAGTATTCGCAAAGTACTGTCCATTTTCCATCATTTGATGACTTACTGAAAACGAACGCCATTAATTTCTCCTTATTATTTTATAATTATAAAATAATGCTGGCAATATACCGGATGATTTTGCCCTTTCCCGATGAAACACAAGCTATCTGGCCTAAAACACTCGCAAGAGCGTTATGTATTTCCACTTTTGTCGACGATAAGGCAGTGTTCAAAACATATTGGCAAACATCTTCCAACATTATGTCCTTATCATTCAACAGTAACACACTGTTCCTAAGAATTACGTGAGATTTCGGTTAGTTAATATAGACATTATTTTTTTTTTAATATACACCAAGGTAATTAACATTAACACCAAGGTAAGTAACATTAAAAAATACTTACGATACTGCTACGATAGCTACTTGCGTCTCACCATTTAATATGCACGCGCGTAACAATTTCAATCGTTCCTTTCTACTGCCGTATGCGCATAAGGTTTCAAGGCACTTCGACATTGTATCAACATTCAGAGATTTTGCTCTCTGTACCATCTTTGGACCGATATCCATAGACCCTTTGAAATCTTGGGTAAATGGCAGTGCTAATATTGTTTGTAATAAAACTTTATTCGATTCATTATGGGCCATTAAACTCATTAAAATTTGAAAGATAATCTCCGCATCTTGGCAATTATCAGAATTCAAATGTTGCATGAAAATTTTTAGTATAGCGTTTAAGTTATTTTCATATAGTTTTACTTGAATCTTCTGATTATCTAGCCATAATTGTAATAGAGATGAAGCTTTTACAATGTGTAGCACTTCCGTAAATTTTTCCATCTCCACATAAGCTATTAATTCCTTTCTTAATAATTTCCACGGTTCGCTAATTTCCATGGCAAAATTGACTCTTTCTGGCGTAGCAGCTCGTCTAATGTCAATAAAAACAAATTGCATAAAAATGTCGATGATAGCCTACAATAGAAAAAAATATTTTGTCTTCTTATTATAAAAATAACAAAAAAGAGAGTCAGAATACAGAAGACAAAAAGTAATAAAATAATAAATATGATTTTAATTATTACAGACCGGACAATGTGTGAAGTAAGCCAAGAATTTTTTAGCTTCTAAAACAGTACAGGATCTCGGCTCTGTAAATAAATATTGCTTAATTTTGTGACATACTACTTCCGTCAATTCCTTTATTGTTTCAGCTCCTACATACTCTCCTGAAGTAAAATAAAGATAATTTACATTTTGTTGAAGGCATATCTATACAATTATGAATAATCTTAAAGTACTCACTAATAAATTCAGAAACTACAAGTTCGATAACTTGAAAACACAATTCCACAACATTAAGTAAGACTGGTGACGCTTGTATTAAACGTGTTAACGTTTCTGTAAAGCGGGACAAAGCATGTGTCGACAATTGGCCTAAGTTAGTCCAGGTGGAAGCACTCTTTATCATTTCTAGACTATATGCAATTAAGGCTGCAAATTCCTATAAAATACAAGTATATTATATTTTGATAACAAAAAAACATTATGCTTGAATCACTTACTCGATCGTGCACGACAAAATTTTCTAATATTTGTGTACATAGTTGCAATGCTTCAATCTTTAACTCCGGAGGAAATTTAATAACTATTGTTATAACTCTATCCCACAATTTCATCTGATCCCACATCGATACTCCAGACTTCGTGATTATCTGTCAATATAAACATCATCTTAATTAAAACAATATTAAACACTTTTAGAAAGGCAATACCTTTAATATGGACGCTTGGACCGATGGCATCTGTGATGAATTAATTTTTGCAGAAAATGGTGTCAGATCCAAATTAGGTATGATATCTTTTTCTGTATGAAACTTTGAGAGTGTCATTTCTTCTGTGTCTGTACTATTCATATAGAACTCTGATATCTCTGTAAAGGAAGAAACATATTTCATATGTTTATAAAATAACATTATATGATATCATATATAATCCTTACCCTATTTAAGTATTATTATTACATACCATTGAGAATATTTAAGTATTCTGAGCTAATAGTCTCATACATCCTAAAATGATGTCTGGATAGTAATGTGAGCATACAAGCTTGCACTTCAATACTATTTGAGAGTATCACATTGCTTGATGGCACACATACCAAATAAAACATTGTACCAAACAACCAGGTTGTGAATGCTAGAGATATATAAACAACGATACATCATAAAGTATAATTCTTTATTACATTGCTCCAATATAAATAGACTACCTGTGTATTGTTGTTGCAGAGTTTCATCTGGTGCACCATTGTTGAACAAAGGGACTAATACAGAACTTAATGTAGAGGATCTTTTCAATAAAGATTCTAAAAGAGAACATAGCATCTGTTCTGTAGCGGGATTTTCCAGGTCGGAGAAGATAGCAATTATTGGATTGTTGATGAATTTCCATACTGAACTTGCATTAGCTATCCTGTGAGGAGAAAATTTATGGTTAAAATATAGTTATACCATTAAACATTAGATTGTCCTTTCACAAAGAATATGTGTGTATGTACAAAGTAATTTTTTCTCCTTTAACCTTCAAGACAAATATTTTAATTTGATACAGAATGCTGTAAAAACAATGAATCTTTTCAATGTGAGTAAAATTATTGTTATCGTGCAAATGTTGTTATGTTACGGTTTGTAAGTTTTGAATGCACAATGAATGCCTTAGCCGTTTTAACTGCAACTGGATGCGTGATTGTCACTATCCAATAGAAACACATACTTACTCGTGATTGCTTGAAGGAATCTCTGAACCGTCATTTAGTTCCATTATTATATCCAAACAGTCAATGAACAAAACCGCGTGACATACCGCGTGGGACCTTTAACCTTGCGTCAAGTTAAATCGTGTGGTTAAACCTTCCGCGTTTATTTCAAATTATTACTGAAGTCGCGTTTACACGCGTCGTGCGCACTTGCAACAGGCGATACCACGATCGAAATTAATCGACTCGACAAGTGTGATCTTTCGATTGCAAAATTGTCCCGCAGATAACTTCCGATCACATCAATTGCAAGAGAAGGCAAGCAAGCATGTCTGAACATGCTTTGGAGAGGCTGTCATGTTTTGGAGAGGAAAAGAAGAAATTAGTCGCCTATTCGATGTATTTATCTTCAGTTTTACACTTTTTCTCGTCTTTTTACAGCTTTGTTCACCCCTTTCTCTCACCACGTAGTGCAAATAACGAGCAGTCATTTGCAACGCGAAGTAGTGCAGTAGGTGCGCTAAGGTGCAGTGGAACGACGGTCGCGGCAGTTCGCACGCATGCGCACATGCGATCAGCTGTTCTTGTCTAGTCAAGTCATTTCTTGTGCGGGCGCGTGTACCAATTCGAGCGAAATGTCGCTTTTCCGCGTGCAGATTCGCACGCGCGCCAATAAAGATTCAGCGCGTCAGCGTAGCGCCGCGTTTCGGGTCTGCTGAATCCCACGAACGCACTCTGGATGGGTGAGTCGCGATCTCACTCGACGCCGGAAGTTTTCCGATAATACCACGTCAGTTTTTCGCGGTGACGACTACGGTGGTGGTGGTGCGCGGTGGTGTTGTCGGTGTGTTGGCGCCGTTGACCACGGTGGTGGATTATTCATGTTCGTGCGCGTTTAAAAACACAACGTACTCCTTCCGCTGCGTGAAAGAGAGAGAGAGAGAGCGCCTAAATGCGGTACCTCGTGACATCGGTATCCCGTAAAAAGAGAGCATGAGATCCTGCGTGTTGTTCGTGTACTGGGCGCTGCTCCTGATATCGGCGGTGTCCAGGTGAGTTACGCATCATCGGCGTTATGTTGTTGACAATTCGAAGCTGCGTCAGCATGCGTATCTTCCGAGACACTCGCGATGTCGGAGTGAGAAACCGCGTGGCTCGGGACGAGCGATCCCGCGGTCGTGGAGGATGGTGAATTTCCCTTCCCTGATTTATGCCACGCGGGCTCGGGATCGCGAGTCCTTCGCCGATCTTTTTGAATATACTCGCCGATGCTTCTCGAGAATTTTCGTAGAATGTCGTTCAGCAAGTCACGGTCAACGTGATAAAATGGAATTAATTTTAATTGGCCGCTGCAATGACCTTATGTAAAGTGTGTTAGAAGGCACGTTCTTTTTTATAGTAACAAATATCCTGACAAAACTATGGTTGACCTTTACTCGTCACCATTGCGTCAGATTTTTTTATCGCCAGCGTTATGTATCTTGATACGATTCAAAAGAACCTTGTGCAAATTAAATTTCTGTTATGATTAAATCCAAATTTAATTAACTGACAAATGAGGCATCTCTACTTGTGCAACATATGCCAAAATTGCTTAATTTCTATTAGCAAGGAACACTTTGTAATTGACTTTTACTTCGTACACTTATTGAAGAAGTTTTCACTCCAAGTTCTTCAAAGAATCTATAGCTGAAAGGACGTTTGTGACTTCTAATCTTGTTATTCAATGTTTATTATTTTTATTACTATCGCTGCAACCATTAATTGACATGTTTAACTGCGCAAACTTTGATATTTGAAATGACACCCTGACTTGTTTCAGTATTATGCTATATTAGTATGATATCGCTCAATATCTAATCATAACAATTTGATTTTGTTACAGTGGACTTCTGTTTCTGATAGTAGCCTCCGATACACAAACTGAAAGTGCACGAACTGAAAATACACAAGCTGCGGATCCTTCTTTTCAGTCTGAGAAGAATGAAACTTACGGAGCTTACGGTAACATCACGCTCAATTATGATGACCTCGAGGAAAATTTTGAGTCCACCATATCAAATGCTGAGACACAAGACACAGTGGAGTTCAAGACTAGTCAAGATGACCATTATCACCAGGTAAGATATTTACACGACTTCCTACGTAACAGAAAATATTAAATATTGATGTACACGTGCAATTTATTCATATATGCTCTATTGTATTGCAGGAAGAAGCCACTACTGTCTCCGCTAGTTTTGAAACGGTCACCAATGACAACGCGCAAATGCAAGAGGTAGATATTTTGGCAGAAAGTCTCACACAGCAGCCTAATCTCTCTCAAGGGTGAGTTTCACACACATCATTATATATTATAGCATAACAACGTACAACGTAATTATACATATGCGTACAATTTAATTTCTAAAATATTGGTTTAGCGATAGATTTACTGTCACACTCGATAAATCATATTCAGCATGTGAATTTAAATTTGTTCAAAGCATCACCAAGTATTATTCCTTCTAAGGCGCTTCTCAAAAGACGCCGCTGTGCCTCTTTTATTCGTTCATGGTTGCAATGAACGTTGTTGGAATAATCGAGATTATTTTTATCTCGTGTGATGTATCTATTAGTGCGAGGAATTTAAGGTACTCGAGATCAGAGCGAGATCAGTTTCAGGGGTGATTAAAATATGCGTTCACGCGCGCGCGCGCGCGAAAAAACCGGCGATGAGCCAAGTGGAATTTGAAACGCGCATTTGATATCGAATAGATTTACATCGCGACGTTAGAATATCATTGTCATCACATTCGCGACGACAGTTCCGTTCAGACTCGCTTATTTATATTCACACGCCGACGAAAATCCCTCACAATGTGAGACTTTTTGCCGAGCGACGTTCGCTATCACGAAACTTGGCCGGGCGGAATCGCGAGTAATGCGAAACTTATTAATTAAGGTGAAATGCGTGAATGCTGCATATCTCGACTTGTTGACGTATTAGAACGCAATGCGTACGATGTGGACATGCGCCAGGCTGGCGGCGATGAAGCGCAGCGGCATTCGTAGATTACGAGACTTCAGAGGTTTTTGACCTTTAAAAACACACGCGAGCGATAAACAGATATATCTGTCGTCTCCGTGCAGTCGCAGATTCTCATATGAGTATGCGGGATCTTTCGTGCATCACACGCGATGTCTCACATCGCGTTAATCCACGAGCTCTTGCCAAGCCGGGCTCATAATAAATATCGCATTATATCGAGCAGCGGTGTTTAAGTTTATTTTTATACGATGCGACGCGCGCAAGAACCGATTCTATTTCAGCCTGGAACGATAAGACAGTTCGATCGATTCTGCGAGACACGTGAGACACGCGTCCACACGGATGAACTTTGCAAAGTGTCGCCGTGGGAGTATAAAGATGTTATTACTAGCGGAAGCTGCGTCAATCTGTTCTCTTTGTCCACATGTGGAATGATGGTTCTGAAATATCTTTCCGCAAAACCGATGTATCCCGGTTATTCTTCTCTAACGAGCATATTATCAGAATATAATCATAATTAATACACCTAATCTAATAACCGATTAGTCATTGCTGTCGCCAGTAATCGTGATTGATCTTAACAGTCGTTTATTCGTCACCGGTCGTCAAAATTGTGGATCGTCGAAAATTAATAAATATTGAATGCATAAATTTACGACCGGGAAATATTTTCAACACCATTATATGCAAATTTTTGCGTAGCAAATATTTATAAATTCGATATTCCTCAATATTTATGGTGACGTCGGATCAACGGACGATTTACGCTTCGTGATCAGAACGTGTCTGTTTTCATTTACTGTATTTTTATTTTGCACGCCGCCGCGTGTCGAACGAGTAACATTTCCGAACAATGCACGGGTGTTTTCGTTTATCTCGCCGCGGAGCATCTGAAATCACACGCCGAGGAGCTATTTTCTCGCGGAGCTCGATACATATCACGGTCTATGATAGGTATCACGATATTCATGAACGACAATGGTGAACGACAGACAATGCTCGACCTTATACTATCGTAACAGTATACACGACGCACTTGTTTGCGTTCCCAGTTCAATGAAATATCGCGCGCATGCAAATTTATACCATACGATTTACTTATAAATTTATCTTCGCCGCGACTTTTGCCGGCGGAGACACGGCGGGCATTGATTTACAATCATACGGAGTGTGTACGTGTGTGTGTGTGTGTGTGTGTGCGCGCGCGCTCGATATTAATATTTTACAGCCTGTCAGTCGATTTATCTTACGCCTCGATAATTTTGTACGGTCGCAGACAATTTCAATACACGAGAGACGAGTTCTTCACTCGCTACCACTTGTTTCTGCCGTTCCTTCCTCGTTGTTTTACCAAGTTGGACGGTCCACACATTATACATTCTTTTCATCAAGATCGTTGTATACGTACACTCGGTTTTATCTTTTCTTTTGGTCATTGTCGCGGTGCGCCTTTGTATCTTGCTAGACGCGCTTTTGTAATAACGAGGCGATACGAGCTACGTTACACCGTAACCCGAGCTGCTAGGCGAAGGTTTACGCGTACATCCAGATTATCCTCTCACGTTGCTTTCGCCTATCGGTATGCAGTCAGGGAGATAAGCTTTTATATCGAATCATGCATCGTAATAAAAACATCGCCCTGTACGAAGGTGTAATGCAAACGTAGGGACGCGCGTTTCTGCGCATAAAATTCGACGATGAATAAAATGTGTGGAAGTGCGATGAAATTGGCTGGAATTTTTCGCATACCATAGACAGTCGCCTCAAAATACCGTTCCGCACGATGTTCCACTTTTCAGTTGTAAAATGCAGGAAAAGTTTATTAAGCAGGATGCCAGCTTCAATGATATTTTCGAGCCGCCGGCAGTTCTCTTTCCCGAGTCTCCCGGACTCGA